TTATTGTTTGTGCTTCTACGATTATTTAAGTTTATTGCTGAGTCCTTCCACTTCTCACTAAGGTATTATACTTTCGGACATGGCGCGCCCCAAAGCTTTTAACTATTGAAACATTTAGGCAGCTACCAAACAGGGAGGACTACCGCCTGGGAAGACACTGTGTTGTCTATGGTAGACCCTGCTGACATATGTGACCAAGTCCCAGGTTGATGACCTGACTTTCTGCCTCATTTACACACAATTGCAGGGTCTCAATTGTTTCTCTTACTTTAACAACACAACATACTTAATGTATATCGTTTCTCACTCTTGATTTATTTTTTCGTTTTTGTATTTATTATTATTATTATTATTATTATTATTATTATTATTATTAGTATTAGTATTAGTATTAGTATTAGTATTAGTATTATTAGTATTATTATTATTATTATTATTATTATTATTATTATTATTATTATTATTATTATTATTATAATTATATTTTTGCCCCCCAGGATCTGATGTGGGTCAGTGACCTGTGCCCGGGTGGGCTAATCCCCGTAAAAAAAATGAAGATAAGTTTAAGCTAGGCCTATCGGGGATCCAGGGGCGGAGCCCCCGGCTAGGGGTTAGGTTAGTTTAGTTTAGTTTAGTTTAGTTTAGTTTAGTTAGGTTAGGTTTTGTTAGGTCAGATGACTTTTTCTCCCCACCCATAACCCCAATTTCCCAGGTTCTCCCCGTTATTGTTGTTGGGGGCAAAGACGATAAATTTCTGCCCCAAATGAAGGTCAGATTCGTTTAAAACACCAAAATACACTGGAAAAAACATATTGGTCACCCCCTAGGGACTCATGTCTTAAGGTAAAAATCTACCAAATTGGTGGGGGGGGGGGGTAGGTTTTGTTGGTTGGTTGGTATTTTATTTGTGATTTACCCCAAAAAAATCAACTTTTTTCGTTAAGATTGTTAGGGGGGAGGATCCTCAAAAACTAGTGATTTCCAGCGGAAATTAATATAAAATTCGTTCGAAACTCATCAAATACCATAGGAAAAACATATTTTTAATATCAAAAGAAAGATTTGTACCAGATGTAAACAAATCATGGCAACACTTGACTGAGGAAATCTAATAATAATAAAAAATTAATATATCAGTTATCCATAATTTCTGGCAGAAATATCAAAGAAGAATAATGTCTTAGAATTGTCTAAACATTACGAAATACATATTAATAACGGCGAAAGAAAAACCAGTGCATGACTAAAATTTGACAGTGTACAGTATATATGACGGGGAGAAGCCTCGAACCCCATCTCTCTATCCCCCCATGCACAGTCAGACGAGAAGATGGTAAAATTATCGTTTTGGTCATCCACGTATCTGGGACTTGACCTAACCTAACCTGAACCAAAACCTAACCGGTAAAAATCGATTACAACGCTGCTTCTCAAATGCAACCTAAGCAAACCTAATCTATCGTAACCGACTAAAATTTGCTGGATGACCAAAACAATGATACATTACTACCGAGACGATTGTAAAGAAAACAGGCAAAACTAAATTTGTTATTTTGAGGGGCTTTTCTTAATACAGCAGTTGTTGCTTGAATGTATTAATTGATTATACATCTTGATGGTCTTGTGTCAGATTTTTTTTTTGGGGGGGGGGGCTATTATTGACGACTAACCCACCGACTTGTTATTTGTTTTGATGTTTATATTCGTACTACATTCTCATCAGTGAGTTCTGATATGATAATAATTTTGGGGGGAAATTGCTTCCCTTGATAGACAATTAGGTGACTAGGCGCGTACTACTTTGTCTGGCGCACATTAATTTGTCTTTTCTGGCGGTGATGTGACAATACACAGCCAACCATCTCTGATCAACACCAGTGCATGTTTATGAGCCACAAGGACCGAGTGAGTGCTCTCACATCCACAAAAAAACAAAATTACACCATATCATAGCAAGTTCTTTCTGTTTAATATGGGGGGGGAGTCTAAAGGTTGGAGCCCTATGACAAGGAAGTTAGATAAGGTTAGGTTGGTGAGGTCTTCTAACAATGCTTCTGCCACTTGTTTTTCTTATCAACTAAGGTTAGGCTTAATTTAGAAAGAACCACGTTTAACATATTTACCAAAACTACGATAATGTCCACTATAAAACACAGTGAAATTGTAGCCTTTTTAAATTCGTTTTCTATGAAAAATCAGCAACAGGTCAGTCGTCAATAATTCACCCGTTTTTTTTTTTTTTTTTTTACGATCTTGAAAAGAGCTTGCTTGGAGTTTGCAGTCAGACACTTTTCTGACAACAAGCAAAATGAACCAACCAAATCCAAGTTAAACTAAGTGTGAGTGTGTGCAGGATGTAGTATTTCAGAGGGTCAAATTTGGGCAAAATGATAACAGATAAATATGAAAACAAGAAAGAATAATAATTTCATCCAACTGATCCTTGTAGTTTTTCTGTTTTATTTCTCAATTTTTCTTTACTTCATTCTGATTAGAATTCTGGAAAAGAGATTGGCTTGGGCCCTCTGTCTCTGTGGCTAGGCTTTGGCAAAATCATGGAAATGGTGTAAGAGGGCCTTATCTTTTGGGAGGGGGGAGTGGTAGGTGCCATCATTGAGCCTTAAATGAGTACCTATATGTAGTGTTCCACAGAGCTTATGTTCTGGGACCTTCCACAGAGTGGCTACCAATCCAATTTTCCAAGCATTTGGGGTCAGGACAGTTGGGCTTTTAAAATTATTAAGAAGGATTTACCATGGAGGATGGGGAGGGTTCCTCATCACTTAGATGCACAGTATTGTGAGATTCTTGGGGATTATATGACTGAATTTTTATGGAGAAAGTATTTCAGAGATATGGACTAAGCTATTTTCTGGTGAGGTTCTTTCATTTGCTGAAAGCCGTGGAGAGATAAAAGGTAATTTTGTTCAGTAGGTGAGATGGAGTCGAGAAAAATCTTTGGTCGACATTCATCAAACTGAAGAATGCCTATAAACATGTTCTCATCCATAGAGTTCTAGCAACTTCTCAGCATTCAAACTAGGAAAGAATTTTTTCTGTCTAAGCTCCACCTTCTCTGGTTGAAAAGGGATGGACAATCTTAACAAAATCTTCAGGGTTTTCTTAGAGTTTCTCTGAAGGATTTTTTTTTCTATTGAAAAAGATTGGCTAGTTCTAAGGCCCATGCAGAAAGCAATCAAGGTGATGTTCAAAGATTGGTGTACTTACTTTCTAAGGCAGTCTTATTTGTGAACTGGGAAAAGTCCAAGTTGACTCCTAATCAAAGTTTTCAGTGGTTGGATCTCCAGTAGAACTCTAGAGCTGAGTCTAAGAGTGCTTGCTGGAACTTTGGGGGGGGGGGGTGGAATATGCAAGCCCCCACAGTTGGGCTCGATAGGCTAATATTTTAATGGTTTCTTTTTTCTTCCCTTCAGTTTTGTTAAATACCCTTCTTTTGTTGGATATTTGTTGCTTAAATATTTTGATGTAAGCCTGATCCAGGAGGGGGGGGAGGGGGCAATTGCCCCCTCTTGCCTCCCCCTAGCGGATGCCCAAGGCTGAGTCAGTTGTTTTTCTGAAAAAGTTCAAGCAATTGACCATGTAATAAATGTCTCATATCCAAGATGGAGTTATCAAGCAGACAGTGCAAGAGGGTTATAAGGAAGTTAGTTTTAATAAGCTTGGTAGTCCTTTTTTGACATGAGTTATTATGAGTCTTAATTAGTCTCTAAAATCAAGTTTTGAGGACGGGATTGTCCCTGTCCTTCTGAAGCTCAAATTAGTGTTGTAGTAATGGAGGAACAGATGATGGGGTCATCTCTGAAAGTTCTTTGGACACCATCAAAGAGTGACAAATTCATTTGGACAGTTGTAAAAAAATCAAGGGAGCAGGGCGATACAGCACCCAACCAGTTTCTGCACAACTTCCCTCAGGAGAGTTCTGCAAAGATTCTCTTTAGATTAAAATAAATGGGATCAGATTTATCTGTTCCAGTTCTCTTTCCTTCATGTTGCAAGTGACCAAGAAACTAAAGCAGTTGCAAGGGATAACTTCCTTGATGGCTCCTTCTTGGCCTTGTAGGATTTAATTTCCCCTACTGTCTCAGCTTTATCCAAAGCTCTGACTTTGAGTCAGAGGGTGATGATAGAAATGGTTTTATGTCCTGGTCCTCACTTTTGCAAATTGCATGTTTGAATTTTGTAGATAATAATGTTCACCTTGTGTAATGTCATTTGAGGATTCTCTAAGATAACCATTTAGTGGTCAGTTTCTTTCTTGGGTCTTTCACAAGTCTTTCTTCTGTTAGATCTGGTTTGGTTATGGATTAGTATTTTAGTTCAAATCTGACCCTGCAGCTTCCTGTTTATCTACAAAATTCAAACATGCAATTTGCATGTTAAAATGTATATTTGGGTTAACTCTTGTGTTATGGTACAAATCACACTAGCACTTGGAGCTTTCTTTCCTGCTTGTCCCTTTCTCTAACTGGCTTCTGTTACACATGTTGCTCTTGAAAGGCATTTGATCATAAATGGTGGAGTGATGAGGAAATCCCATTTTATAACTGAACATGGGAAGATCAATTTAGCTACCCCACCTCCTTGGAGGTTAACTGGCAAATAGAAAGGATTGCACACTGCTGATGTAACATCACTGTTACTCCGCAGCCTTAAGTAGTAACTGCTTCCTCTAATTTCCCCTTGTGAGGGCTATGGGTTGTAACAGGAAGGTACACTGTGTGACTGAGCAATGGATTAATTCCATCTGTCATGGTTTAATGCTTCCCAGGGTCCAATAAGTAAGGTACAGTAAGTCCTTGAATGATTAAATTTACTTTTTTCAAAAACAAACCTGGGCATGTCGGGTAAAATTCAAGAAATCTGCTCTGAATTTTTTTTATAATTATTTTCATAAATTTATTATCTCTGAAAAAGAGAGGTAAGAAATATTATTACATCTCAGATAAATCATGCTATAAGGAGTAATATAATGTGTATTATAGTATCACTTTTCTATTAACAGGTGCCCGTGTCTCTGGCCATGTCGAGTATGAACAGCGGAGGAGGTCACCACCAATTCCAGCAGCAGCAGCAGCAACAGCATCAGCAGCACCAGCAGCACCAACCACAGCAGCAGCAGCAGCAACAGGCCGTCCATATCCATACCCATGCCCGTGGCCCATCTTCCATGATGTGTGCTGCACCGACACAACCCCATCACACGCACCATCTCAGTGGTACCCATGTGCAGTCCCCGCCTCACCAGGTAAGGTTCACCATGTTCAGTTTCATCCCACATGAACACTTGTGTTATGCCTTGCAGTGGCTTCCAAGGACAGGCATAATGAGACCCTGTCAAATGCTTTGGAGATGTCAAGGGCCACGATGAAAGTTTCCCCATAATCCCTAAGAGAGGATGACCAAAGATGGGTGCAGTAGGAGAGCAGATCACCTGTAGAACTCGCCTGGTGAAAACCATACCGGTGATCCGACAGAAGAGACTGCTGTTCAAGGTGACCGAGAAAATGAAAGTTTAAGATACTTTCGAAAATCTTAGAGAGGGATGAAGTTAGGGCAATGGGGCGATAGATAGAGGGATTAGAATGGTAACCTTTTTTGGGATGGGGTGAAACAAGGCATGCTTCCAAGAAGAAGGAAAAGTTTGGGATTGAGGCAAAGGCAAAAGAAGCGAGCAAGCACAGGGGCCAGAACTTCAGCACACTCCCTCAGAACATGAGGGGATATTCCGTCCTGTCAATGAGCCTGTCTGGATAACACACCAGCAACCCAACGAGCGGAGATTATAGAAAAGTGCATAGGTTCAGTAGGAGGGATAGAGTTGGAATCGTCTTCGGTGGAGTTAGAGGAGAATAAGGTATCAAAGAGATTGGCTTTATCAGGGGGAGAGTTGGCTATAGAGTTATCAGGTCAGAAGAGAGGAGGAAAAGAGGGAGTGAAGAAGTTATTACAGATGTTTTTGGTTAAGGACCAGAAGGATTTACTTGAGGAAGAATTAATCAGGACAGCGGTCTTTCTTTTTATAAAATTCCACTTGGCCCTACGAAGAATAGCCTTACAACGATTCCTAGATGTAATGAAAGAGTGGGTAACAGGAGAAGGAGATAGCTTCATTTCTTGATATGCCCTATCTCTCTCCCTGCATGCAAGAGAGCAGGAGCGATCAAACCATGATTGTAAAGAGAATGTTTTGGTAGAAGATGGGATAAATGCATTCATACCACCCTGTATAACCCCAGCAATGCTGTCAGCACATACTGGGGTTTCCTGAGTGGAAAGCAACATTCATCCCAAGGAAAGTAGGTGAAGAATTCTCGCAAGGATTGCCAGTTTGCTCCTTGATAGTGCCATAGTTGACGTTTAGAGGGGGGTGGGGGAGGTGGTCGTGCCCAGTTTGATTTAATAGAAATAAGATTGTGATTAGAAGCTCCTAAGGGGCTAGAAATTGAGTATGAATAATGTGAGGGGTTAGAGGTAAAATAAAGATCAAGAATGTCAGTAAGTTTATCGTGTCGCTCAGGAATGCGTGTAGGGTGTTTAATTATTTGTTCCAGATCATTAGGTAAGGAAAAAGAGAGTGCCTCAGCTCCACCTGGGTCATCCCTTGCAGAGCCAAGCCACTCTCTGTGATGTACATTGAAATCCCCTAGGTAGAGGATCTCGGTGTTGGGGTGTGTGGATAGCAACGACTCATGGCAAGAAGTGAGATGCTCAAAAAGTTCTAAATAGTTGGTAGAGTTCAGAGAACAGTATAGGAAACAAAGGAAAATAGTCATAGTTGGTAGAGATATTTTGAGCCAGATGACGTCATTAAGGGAAGATTCAAGATCCGTGAGTACCCAAAATTCAAAGTACAGTACTTGTGTAAAAGTTATATCAGAATAATCTGTTTATATAATGAGGTACTGCTACTTTGTTGTTTGCCACCACTTCTTATTTGTACCTGTACTTATATTTTTACATGTAGTACAATATTCTTAACTTAATGTGAGGAAACAATCAATCACAATTATTTTTTTAACCCTTACAGATGGGAGGAGCCAGCGGGGGTAGCTACAGCAACGTCCCACGCCTCCACCATTGCAACGTTCACTCCTTCCTTTGTTCCAACCCGCCTCTCCATCATCAGTACCAGGTAAGTTTGTTTCTTTTCTTTCTTACTCTGTCATAACCAGGGTTGGGCATGATTGAGATCATCTGATTTAATTTTTTAAATCACAGTGGAAGAGATAATGATTTCAATAAAAGTTTAGATTTTTCGGGACATTTACTCTAAGATGCAAGGTTTTCCTCAAGAATATTTGTATTGTACGTCATTCCCTCAGCCTTCCTAACCCCAGCCTCCTTTTGTCTTTCCATTCCCCATTCTTTATTCCACAGACAATTATTCACTATTTTATTATTACAGTTGGCCCTCAGTTTATGCGTTGGTTATGTTCGTGACAAATAGAAATCATGCACAGAAATATTGTACTTGGGGCCTTTGGGAAATAGGGAGTTGGTCCCTGGCTCACAGGATGACCTTCCTCATTCATCCAATAAGTTATTATACATGTATCAAAATATTACATTAACAATTTTAATATTTAAATTTGTTACTAATTTTTCTGATAAACTTGATATGATGATATGGTTGAAGTCAGAATGGTGGCAGGGGCAGTGGTGGTACTGTTGGCAGGGACAGTGGTACTGTAGTAGTGATGGCAGGGGCAATGGTGATAGATGTGTGAAATAAATTGAGGATGGTCAGTTGTTTGGCTTCATTCTGCAAATTTTTGGTGGTCCTTGTTAATCATGTGGTTGTATTTGTAAAAAACACAGCTTCAGTAGTGTACAGCAATAGCAAAATGACTGATAGTGAAACCAACATTACCATAAACCGAATACAGTATTATTAGTTGGGGTAATGCTTTAGAACAAAAGCCAAGAAGGAAAAGCTAAGAATTATGAAAACATCTGAAATGATGTTAAACATTAAGCCCTGGACTCTAGTGATATACACAGCCTGTTCCCTTTTTCAAAATGCCTTGACGCATCTATTATCACATCTAAACCAACACTTTTCCTTCTAATTGAGCTCAGTGTGGTAACATACTCTTTGGGGCCACTTGGTGACCATACTGTACAGGGGTGGATCCAGGGAGGGTGTCCTGGGGGTCCGTACCCTCCCTTTTCATCAGAAATTCCAATACTTTTTCTTTAATTCAGTATTGTACTCAAGCATTTTTGTACAGTAAAAATTAATTACTATTGACTTCAGAATATCTCCTAATATCAAGTGCACATGGCCTCAAAATGGCCCCAAAAGTCCATAATATTTGTTATACAGCTCCTCCCGGACTTACGACCTACTCGACTTACGACCACCCGCACTTGCGACCTGCCTCAGTTGTACCAAAATTTTGTCAAATTACGTATTTTTGAGTCCCAACGTCAGTGATTGTGCTGTGTACTGACAAAAATTTTTTTTGTAATTCACTTTAAAATGGCTGGCAAGGTTAAAAGTGAGAGTTTTGTGGTGCTGAGAAGAAAAAGAGACACCCATTTTAGATTTTCTATGTATTATTTTCGCATTTTCGACTTACAACCCCATCGTAAGTCGGGGAGGAGCTGTATTTAAAAAAAAAAATTCAGGGGGGGCTTTCGGCACCCCCTAAAACCCCACCATCTGGGTGGACTCACTGTGCTCGCCTTGTTTTCTCACCCACAACTTCTTGGCGGCCCCCCCCCCCCCCCTTGATATTTCTAGATCCGCCCCTGCTATACTGTACTGTGAACCCAGACTATGTACTGTACAAAAAGTAGAGGGTTACAGTAACTTGAACGTGTGTAAGTGAAACTTTATACAATAAAAATTTGTAAATTGAGGACACACTTTTATTTATTTTATTTTCATCTCTTATAAGTAGTACAGTACAATACAGTGTACCATAACAAAATATTTAAAGTTTGATTAAAAGATAAACGATGATAATTTCTTTATATAAATGGTCAGAGAACTAGGAGAGCTGTGCAACTTAAATAGAACAAGTAGAAATGCTTGCTTGTATCTTCAACTTTCATATACAGTTCTGTACAGCTCAGTATACAAAGTGAATCCTTAGCATTCACATTTATTCATAGTATGTAAAATAAAAATGCATTATACTGTACAGCACAGTACAATATATACAAATTGAGCTTATCAGGTTTGTCAATGTTCCCTTTATCACATCTGAAAGGCCTCCACCTTATAGGATCTGCAATCAGACTTCAAGTATTTTCTAATGCGAGACATTTAGCCTCAATAATTCACCTATGTAATTTGTCCATCACTTTTTTGGTCACCATCTTGCTTTCATACTTTCAACTGTGCTTTATATTCCTGCTTTCATATGTTTAACTGTGCTTTCTTAAAGCTTCCTCTTGTTTGCCATATGCACCGAACATGCATAAGGCATGTTAGGAGTTGTTGATCCCACCCATTCTCCTTATATCTACATTTCTTACTGTGGCAATTCTGCAAATACAGATGCTGTCCAACTCTGCTGCCTGCAGTTGTGATCCACCACAACTATGAAGTACTTAAGTAAGAGTTAGAGTACACACTCCCCCATGCAGTCTCCTTTTACACTGTACACACACACTCTTCCTTTAAGTAATGTTCTCAATGCACCATTTATATATCTCTTCCTTGTACTGCTCTTGTTAACTAAACAGTACAGCTTTTTTACTTCCTTCCTCGCTGAACATTGCTCCCAAATACAGGTACTTGAGTTGGTTAACAATCTCCAGTTTGTCTCCATTTATAATGACATTACATTGAGATTGCCTTTCTTTTTCAAAAACTGTTATTTTATTCTCTCCAACATATGCTTTCAACATTCTTCTGCACACTTGAATAATGTTTGCTACAATTCTCTTCAACTCTCCTCAGTCTTGGCTACCAGCACAGTAGCAACCACATAACAATATATGCAATGTCTTTCTTTTTTGTCATGTCTCGGTTAAATGCCACATCCACATTCTACAGTCACCCATTTTTACTCCACACTGGGTGGGGATACTCAACTTGTATTATTAATTCCCTTAGAGTTTTGTCTGACTTTCTATTAATGTGCCAATTCCTGAATTTTATGCTCTTAAGTAATTTATACTTTACTTTCAATGCAATCTCATCTTTCCATTGTTGGAAAACTTTCATCACAAATTTTATTGTTTTCATAATACTATACAATATATATAGTAGGCCTTATATTTTGTAAAGTATTTTTTGTATGTTTCATAATACATAATGTACAGTCTTGTATATTACTGTACTGTATATATACAGTACAGTAATATATTTATGAAAAAAGTCCAATTTATTGCATTTCCTCCCATAAATTTGGATAAGAAAAACAATCCTTATGTATTCTGTAAGCCATATGACTAACGGGGTGGGGTCAAGTAAAGAAGAAGTTGCTAACTAGAATTTTCACTGAGCCCACATGGTACTACCTCTCCTATCTACCTTGGTCCACAACGTGTTAGCAGTGTCCCAGCATCCCTGAGTGACCACATTTTTGCATATCTGTACTTTATCCACCTCAGCACAGTAACATTGGCTGCAAAGCGGGGCAAGAAATAACATCCATCTTTGGTTGCAGACCTTTTAAAGGTGTTCTCTTGTGTATTTTTTCATGAAAAGTGAGATTTTTAGGGATGGTACTGTACAGTACTATACATTCAATAAATGTAAAAGTACTACATGTACAGTTCTATACATAACAAGAGTGGACAGTGTACAGTATGCCTACTGTAGGCTAGGGTGTAGTGGTGTATGTATAGAATACAGTGCCTGTACAACCCTCCTACATAGAGTGAACAGTTAGCAACACCTATTACAGTAGATAGTACAGGACAGAGGTGGGCCACCCTCTACCACCATTTGGCCTGCCTGCCTGCATCACAAATTCAAAATGACAGCATCTGCTGGTGAGTAGTGTACAGTATAGTAATTATAGTACAGTATAGTATTTGTTTGTTTACAATATATTGTACAGTAAATATCGAGTGGTGTTTGCATAAATAAATACAGCTGCTCAGCTTGGCAGTCACCAGGGACAGGCCGTCTCTCCCACGCATCCCGTGTGGGTTGCATGTGTTACGTTATTCCGAGATTGCGTAGTCATACAGTATCTCAGAATATTTTGAGTTATTGTAAATCATTTTTCATAACAAAGACAATGCAGGAAAAGCATTCGGGTAGCGATCATCGTAAATCTGATCTTTGCCACTGCACTGCGTTATTTGGTGTTAATTTCTTAATATCGTAAAACTGATAGATTGTATATCAATTAATCGTATAATGGTCAACGCCTGTAGCGTGAAATTTTTCTTCCTGTGGTCATATTGTTCTTAAAATCAGGTTAAATACCGTAATAGCACTGACCTTGTTGATATGTTATTACCAAGTTGTTGTTGTTGTTGTTGTTATGATCGTCATTCATTATACTTAGATGTTCATGCTATGTACGGTAAGCACTGAAAAATACACAAAATGGCAACTGAATACTAGTCTTCGTTACACACTGATAGATGCCATTATGTGCAAGTGAGACTACAGTATGCAAACAAATGGTGATGGCTGTCAGCATCATTCCCCAATATCATCATAATTTCATGTTTCTTTCCTAATAAACAGGTATGACATTACAGTTTTTGATAATTGTCTCAGGTTATCTAGCTTTATTATTTGCAATCATTCCTCTTTTAATTAATTAAAAAGAATAATAATGATGTACTGATAATAATAATGTTAAAGTAAACAATAAAATTTTTATTCTGGAGTTGGGCTAGGTAAATTTAACCTACTGGAGCCAGTATCTGGGGGACTCATTATCATGTAGGAGACCCGCAACTTCACATACTGGATGCAGGATAATTTTTTTTTGCCTTTTGGGAGAGGGGGGGGAGTGTGTCATATACGGTACAGAAGAAAAACTGAAATGTGAAAGATAAGAGTGTGAGTTAAACACTTCTAAAGAGAATACAGTGGTCCCTCGGTTAATAAACACAATTCGTTCCACTGTCGTTCGTTACCGAAAATTTAGTTAACCAAATCTATTATTACAATGGGATATTGGGTAATTGGTTCCAACTCACAGAAAAAGTACATACAAAGTACTATATACCAGTAATAGAATTAACAAGACATTAAATATAAACTAAATACAGTACTGTACAGTACACTATACTGTACAATAATAAATAAAAAACAATAAAATACTGTATTTTAAATTACTTTGAGGTGTGTATGTTGTATTACCGGCTGCTTTGTTTACATATCAAACAGCTGATTGTAGAGGCAATCGATGATGACATGCCATATTCTTTACAGAGTGCTTTGGTTCTAATGCCTTCTTCATGTTTCATAATAATTTCTGCACTACAGTGAACCCTCGCTTTACGCGGTCAATTGAACCCACGGAGGCCCACGTAAAGTGAGAAACGCGTAAAGTGAACAACATAACATATGGGATTAATTGAAATAGAGACCGGGCCGACCATCAAACTCCATTTTTTCAGACACAATACCTACGTTGTAGTAAAGATAACTTCTTAATTTTATGATGGTATGCACACACAATTAATAATTAAGAGAAATATCAATAATATTAGGTTTTTTAACACTTACATTAGTAGAAAAGATGGCTGGGCACACGGGGATGGAGGGTTGGTTCCGAGGCAGAGGGCAGAGGGCCCTCACCTGTATCACTTGTATCAATTGTATCACTATCCACCACAGAGGCTTGCAGGGCCTCTTTGTCAAACCCCTCAAAGTCCATATAAGTCCATATCCTCACTATCACTATCACTGACTTGGGCCGGCTGTGGTGGGTGGCGGGTGAAGAACTCGGTAATGTTTTGATGACTGGGCGACCTTGTGCGCACCCTGCCCGCGCCGCTCTCCGCGTAAAAGAGTACATGCACCGCATAAAGTGAGCATTCCTGGTCTGGCAGGGTACCGCGTAAACGTGGAAACGCGTAAAAAAAAATGCGTAAAGTGGGTTAATACTGTATATATTATCAATATGTTAACTAAATTTCAGAATGACCAATAATTTTAATGTAATAATGCAAAAATATTCAAGAGACCAACAAAATCAATGTTCACTCCACTGTAAACAAAGTTAAACTGAGAAGTGTTGTTGGGTGATTCAATCAGCTGATGGGCGCACAAAAACTGTTCCCTGTACTGTATATTATCAATATGTTAACTAAATTTCAGAATGACCAATAATTTTAATACAAAAAATGCAGAAATATTCAAGAGACCAACTTTCTTGATATTTACTCCACTGGAAACGAATGTAAACATAGAACCAATTACTGTATTGGCGGACTAGCCGATCACCTGATGCACACAAGAAAGTGTGTTTCTCGTAAGGCTGTCGTTAATCGAAGTTTTGTTCGTTATTCGAACTGAAAATCCTTATGGGAGCTAATTTGTTAACCGAAATTTCGTTAATCGAACCGTTCGTTAACCGAGGGACCAATGATTGAGAAACGGATAGAGGTTTTTGATGATGTAAAGGTTTTTTTTTTTTAATTTAAGTATTTAATTCACGCTTTCCTGTCTTTCATAAAGAATTCCTTAAAAGATAATATTTAAGAATAAAGATTATTTATTCATGTTTCCAGATGAATGGAGGATGCCTTGGTCCCCAGCACCACTATGCCCCCATGGTGCCTCCTGGTCATCATGCAGCTGGCCCTCTTCTGACACCTGCAGGGCCACCCCAATTAATGGCTGCCACTCCCCAGCCCCCCCACACCCACACCTCTATGTATGGACAGGCACCCATGGGAGTGGCTCCTCCTCAGGCCGTCCCCACCCACCTCACAGCTGTTCCCGGACAACTGTCTGCAGCGCCGCAGAGTCTGGGAGTCAGTGTAGCTCCTCAGCTTCCCCCTCAACACCACCATCACACCCACCAGCAACCCACACCTCCTTTGGTAACGCCTTTCCCTGCCCACACTCACCTTCATCAACTCCATCATTTGCATGTAAGTAATGTGTTTTGTATTAATGATATTTGTGGCTTACAAAAATGAAATCTTTCTTGTAATTACAGTTGTAATCTAACTACAGTATTACATTACATACTGCACATATACTTGTACAGTACTAGTTGATTTTTTTTCTTTTTATTTTTTTTACTTCCAGGCAAGCAGCGGAAGTGGAGGTGGTGCACGAGGTGCTAGCGTTGACATGCTTGGTCGGGGGCTATATCGTGGTCCAGGTCAAGGTCATGTGCTAGGTCGTATGAGAGGACCAAGAGGTAGCAGCGGAAGCAGTTTGGGAGGCACAAGACGTAGTAGTTCTAGCTGGCGAGGAAACACCATGCCTCCAGCTGCCCCTCCACCCCCACCACCCCCACCCCTCCCTAGTGCTGCTGCAGCAGCAGCCACATACCCTGGCATTCTCTTACATTTCTTGTGAGTTATTTTGTATGTTTTTGTGGAGACATGGATGCATTTTATTAAAAGTATAGAATACAACATAAAATACTCTAGCATATATTGCAAAGCATTTCATTTTTAAGTGATTGTAGGCAAACCCAAGGATCCTGCCAAATGAACGTAGCTAATTTGATGAGTGTTTTTCTTTATGATATACCATGCATTTCCAGGGCAATGTTGTCACATCCATCGCTACACCAATACAGCGTGGTAGACCCAGTGCCTGCGGAAGCTCCAGACACAGAGAACTATGAGGCCCTACTACATCTGGCAGAAAGACTAGGCGAGGCCAAACCTAGAGGCCTTATGAAGACCGTGATTGACCAGCTCCCGTCCTATAGGTAAAACAAGATTTTTAAATGGTATATGATTGTATCAGTAATAGTTCATGGTCATTAATGAGACTTAGAGATGTTTAACCTATTTAATGATAAGGAAGAGGAGTAAAGTAGCAAAGAAAAAATTATTAAAACAAATGGATGACAGTGAATGAATGGAGAATCTGTGTGTGTATGTTTGGTCTTGATTCCAACTACCCTGCAATATAGCAAGAAAATGCTTGAAGAGTTAGGGGAAGAGATGTAGTTAAACTCAGATTTTTCTCACAAATGAAGGAAAAGTTAATTTAGCTCTCCATGAAGTAGTATGTAGCCAGTGAAAATGTTATAAATTTTCCATTAAATATGTAGTCAAAATGATTAGATATATTGTACTATGCAATGTAGAACTTCATGAATCTTGCCAAAAATATTTTCAGTCAGTATCAGTTTTCTTTAAAATGGTAGGCATGATAATTAGTCTAATTATCTTACTTTATACTTCAGTGCCTTGTTTAGCATTATGTTGACAAATATTGGGCACAAGCAATACCAAAGTATGATTTACAGGTATACTGGGGAGAAGTCCGACACAAAACAGACAACATGTGTAATATGCATGTGTGATTTCGAACTCCGGCAGATGTTACGTGTATTACCATGCCTGCATGAGTTTCATACCAAGTGTGTTGATAAGTGGCTCAAGGTAAGTTGTTCCGCTGCCGCTGTGTTTCGGTCATGCACTAGGGGTCTTGGTTGTCTCGGGGTCTGTATTTGGCTAGATGATTTGGGTTGGTGATAAATATCAACATACTAGAGTAACAATGTTCCAGAACCTTTGTCTCCCAAGTAGCGCTTGTGTCATCTAAACACCAAGATCCCTGTTTTATTTTTTATGGGCACCACAAAAATCAGTTGCATGATTTTTAAAGCTTACATTGGGTACAAGTTACTGAAAGTGGGATTTGCTATTAATGTCTTACAGAGTAGATATTTAATTTTTGACTGTTTATTCCTTTCTCTCACCTTATGACGACTCTATATGTCTTTCCTACTACCATATTATGTCCAGTCAGCAGGCTTTGATAGATCATGTGTAGAGCAGTGTACAATATTTTCATGTATTTTAACATATTCCTTTATTACTGTAAGGTGATTATTCTCAAGATGATTGTGTGTGCTCGCTTAGACACCAGATAATAGATTTATGATTCTGGGACAATCAGGTAGCAAGCATGGGTTTTTCACAGTGCAATTTTCCCAGTGTATTGACCACGTTGTATCGTATACTAGCCCTCACCCACTAACAGTATTGCTTCTCTTATTTCTTATTAGAGGCGAAAGTGTGCATGAAGGCTGCTGTGACATACCAGTACCGTTGCCATTTTGTCCTCTAAGTCAAGTGGACTCCTTCATCTCAGTGGCAGATATCACATTTGTCTCCTCTCCCTCCAGCTGCTCTCCATCAAAGTCCATCACCCGAATGCTCTCAAACCAGCTCAGACCAGTCACTCTTGATCTTAAACCAGAGTCTATATAACTCCTTATATGGACTAGCCTTTATATCCATGATAGTCTGATCCTCCTTATCATCTGAATTCTTCAAACGGATCAATCATATGGATGAATCCCAGTTTTCTTTATATATGAACGAGTCCTATTTTTGTTAATACGGATAATTATGGCTCTATTTTAGGTAACGTCTCAGCCGAGGCATGCTTGAATCTGCCATTAAGGTCAATGCTTCTCAGCAAGATTCTATTTGTCTTTTTTATACTTTCCATTGCCTTCAAGCACCCAATTTGTGGCTCCCAGTAAGCTGAGAGGCATAGAATTAGTTGTCGGCCTCAACCTTGCCTCAGCTGGCACGAGCCCTACAGCAAAGCCAACTTTATTCTCCTTATCCATTCTCTGTAATTCTTTGTGGACGAACTTGGCCGATGGTGTCACAGATTTCAGCTCATGCCGGGATTTAACGGGCACTTGTGAACAGGTTGTGTTTTATTGCCTCATATGTGACTGTGGCCTGGGTCTCGTCTCCCGAGAGTGAGGCGTAGTGAACGCTGGCTAGGTTATATATATCATCTTTATGTAGTGTATATACATCTTATAGGTTCATAGTTTTATGTGATATGATCAACATTTCAACGGCATTAGTTTTTGTTTCTGTAAAGTTCGTATTCATTCATTATGCCCATAATATGCACTCTGTGGAAACACTATCTAAAAGTATAAAGAGTTGATCACATGACATTTGTAAAAAAGAATCCTTGAAGACATCTGTCCTAATATTATAAATATCTTTTCTTATAATATCTGAATGTATTATTCTTGCATTGCAAGTGTTAAAATAATTTTCAGTTCTGCATTAAATTTCTTTTTTAGCTATAGAAATGATGATAAATGCATTCTTGTACACCATGGGCAGTTTCTTCGTGGAATTCATGATTCTGGTGCCCTTATTTTTCCATCATATAGACCAAAACTGTCACTACAGCACACCCAGCAGTCACTTTGAGGTTTTGAAAGCTTAGTGGGAGAAGGGGTTTATGTACATATTTATGCACTTTTGTGTATGCTATGTGTACATCTTAGATATTTGTAGATCATATTTTTGCATTTTTTGTAGATATTCTAAACTTGAAAGGCTCATCTACTTGTTAAAACAGTAAATATGGTGTTTGGTTTGAGGGGAATCATTATTTTAAAACAGCTGTAAGATTTTTCCTGCCATGCAATTAAGTAACTATCCATGGAACTTTCCCTGCAACCAGAACAAATACTTACTGAATAACAATTTTAGATGAATGCCTGTAATTAACAAAGTGCAACAACAACAACAACAGCAACAACAACAAGCCTTCAAGTAACTGTTGGGCTTTAGAGTCGTCCGTAGCCAGTTTCTTGCCTTTACACCCCTTTTTCCTCCTGTTTGTATTTTTGGATTTTAACACATCCAGAGCTTTTTGTGATGAGCAGCTAACATGTAAGGATGTGCAGCTCCCTTTCCTCTTTCTGAGCTTTATTAGAGCACAGGATTATCAGCATTGAGATCACAAAGAGCTCTGAGCTTTTCCCCAAAGCCTAGTGCAAAAGCCTTGTATTTTAAAGGTTATTTTCTCTGATGAACATATTTTACAAATGCTCAGCCACAGTATCAGTCTTGAAAGTGCAGTGCCTCTCCCTGTTTATGATTAACATTTCTGCCCTAATTCAGGAACAATTTGCTTCTTTAATGTTAATGAAAAAGATAATAAGCACCACCAAGCTTGCTGAGTATTGTAAGAAAATATGGCCTCTAGAGCTGTGATACCCACAGAGATGAGTAAGAGAACAACAGGGGAAGAAGAAAACTTCTTACCAAATTTGTTCCTTTGTTGTTATTGTATATAATGATACTACAATACTCACATTACCATATACAGTACTAAGAAAGATATTTTTGATGGCAGTAGAAATTTAATGAAGAAAGACTATTGCTTTTTATTTAATTGAAGTAGCTAATGGAAACAAGCTGTAATTTTTTAATCACGGTCAGTTTATATATAAGAATGTCCACTCTTATTGTTGCCTTCAGAGAGATTTGTCTTGCTTGCGAAAATTGAGATTGATATTAATTAAAGCACATTTGAGAATATTTAAATGGCCAATGATAGAGGCTGTGTGATTTTTGGTATAGAGTACCTCTTACTCATCTCCAGTGTCACTCACCCCAATTTTTCATAATACCTGGCTTCTGCACTGGGTTTGCAGCTTGTTGGTATTGCACAGTTAGTACATGCAAGGAAATACTGTGAAGTTGAAACCTTGGACTCTTTTGTTCATATGCAGGTTGTGTAATTACTGTAGACACAGGATACAGTTATTAAGGTAGATGGATATCTTGCTTCAAAACAGAGGATTGTACTGTACATTATTCTACTCCATGCAGAAATTGAGTCCCAATGGTCATTCTGTATTGCAAACAAGATATCTTTCATTACCATGCTGGCTTTCTTTGCATCCTGTACTTTACAATATTATCCCTGCATATGGCACTACATCTGTTGGTTTCATGCTGCATAATATTTCATGGATATGACTTCTGACTGGCTGATACCATGCTGTTGGTAACCTAGACTGTGGTCAGTACCATGCAGTTGAGTCCCTTCACTGTGGTTGGTGCCGCGCAGTTGGTACCCGTGACTGTGTTCGGTGCCGAGCGGTTGGTACCCTTGACTGTGCCCCGAGCTAACCAGTGCGTGTGTCTTGCATGAGCAGGAGGGTGGCGTGCCTTGTGCCGTATACCACTGCTGGCTGCTTGCATGCTTGCAGTATCATGATGATGGCCTTTTTGGTGCCTGCAGGTATGTCCCTCTTGGTCACACTGCACACTGGTTCGGTCGTCAGGTGTTTCCAGGCTTTGCGTTATGGGTCATTTCAATGTTGATCACCGTGTGGGTCACTTTGCAGCCTTTAGTTAGCTGATTATCACTTCTGCTGTGCAATTCAGTCTTTAGCAGCAAGTTTATATATTTTACCAAATATGATTGCACTATCTTCAGTTTCTTGCTTCCACTGTGTTGTGCAATGTAAAGTTTTTAATTTTATTATGGGGATTATTTACTATTGTTGTATATATTGTTGCAAATTTGTCTGCAAAGCTCTGGAAATATGTGACAACCGGCCAACATCAGGCAAGACTGTCACCAACTGGCTGTAAAATACTCCTCAAGCATAAAACATAGGCCTAACCACCACAGCAGCACGCAGGGTTCCCACGAGGAGCATTTTCTCCTTGTTTTTTCTTTGCTATTTGTCTAGGAACTTTCTTTAGAAATTTGTGTTCAAAATTTATTAGAATTCATATGAAGTAAATTAATCATTTCCTAAAAAACACAATATATAACATTAATATGAATTAGTCTTATTAGAGTTTACATTACAACAAAGCTAATGTTTGATAAATGCTGTACAGTCTTTACACTGGGGATTGTAGAGGAATGCTCAATTTAGTTTCAAAAGTCTGCCCTAACATAGTGGTGCAAATAATGTGTTTCCACTAATCCTGATGGGTACTGCTTTTGGTTAAAGTATGTTTGATATTTGCCCCTTTTTTTAGGATCCGGAAATCAGTGTGATCCAGTTAAGTGTGCTAATTTTAAATAATAATTAATCAAAAGCAGTAACCGTGGATGAGTGTAAGAAGCTTGCCGTGCCAGAACACCCTTAGAAGGACTTAACCATAAACCTTGTGCTTGTGACCTCTCCTTTCTGTAATTCAAGTTTGTGGCAGCCTGGTCAGCTTGCAATGATTTGTTCTACTAATTTTATTAATCTGTTGCATGTAATGTAATTAAGAATGAGGAGAAAGTGCTGTTCTTGCTGTGCTGGCGGCATTTTACCGCAGCATCCCAGTTGTCTCAGCCCAAACTGCTTGCGATGCTCAGAGATGATTGACATTTACCTGGAACTGTAGATTTTTTCTTCACGTCCATAACAGTTTTTAATGTATACAGTCATTCACAGACGCCAGCATTCAGCCATCCATTTTAAGTCTTGAAAAGTATGTTTTCAGTTGTTGGTTGATAGTTTTGTGGTGGGAGTGTGAAGTGCTTCCTCACCCTAACCATAACACAACCACCAGGTTACCATATAACTGAAACTAAATTCATGACATAAAATCTGGAGCTTAACTTCTGACAACAGTGATTGCCTGTAAAACATAGTACAGTAGTCAGTGAAGGAATTGTTACCTAGCTACCTGTACTTGTGTTTTCCTTTCTGAACACTTAAAAGCACAAATCACGAGAAACTTCTTTTTTTTTTACTAAATTGGGTAGTTTAATGTAAATGTTTAATTTATGTTAACATCAATATTTTGAACTCAAATTACAGCCAGTTTTTGACAGTAATTTAAAATGTCTGCTCCTTGAGGCCTTTTAAAGTTTCAATTTAGAGGAAGTTTAATTGTAGGTCTTGTTTGTGTTTGACAGATACTGTTTTGCATTAGAAACTTCTAATTGAGAATTTTAATTTTATTGTCTAGTTAATTTATCTGTCAATAGTTCCAGGCAATGAATGAGGATAGAGGTTCATGTACATTTCATATTGATTAAAATCATTATAGTTATCACCACTTTACTGTGTAGTTCTAGAAGAATGACTTGGTATATGTTATTTTTTGATTCGGAACTAAATTACATGAAGTAAAATCCTTTATATGAAGTATTTGAATTGAGATATTTAGTTTTCTTGACCTTAAATTTCAGTTATAAATTGCCTAATCTTTACTTGCTTAATAATTTTCACTGTCGGGCTTTAATCCTGCCAACTTTAAACTTTGCTTGTGTCTTTCAGTCAAACCGTACTTGCCCGATCTGCCGTGGAGATGCCAGCGAGTTTCTTAAAGAGACCACCAGTTCTGAGTGAAGCAGGTTGAAATATACATGGAAGAGGAGAGCTGGACAAACTGGGAAGATGATGAAGAGCTGGTGAATCTCAGGTCAATGGTATCACTATTATAAGGAGAGTCTCAAGGATTGCTTCAGCTTCACACAGTAATCCTTATCTCCCAAATACCAAGGAAGGTGGGCTTTCTGTCTCGGAATAAAAGATGGTGGACCTGATGACAGGAATTTCGATCAAAAAACAAAATTATGCTCATCTTTTGGAGGTGTGAATAGAAAATGGGATGTACCCACCAGCAGTAAAAGAGGTGTTGGAGAGTTTGTTGTTCGCATATGGGCAACAAAGATTTTTTTTTCTATGTATGGTCTTTTATGTGTTGCACTTGGAGCTTGAGGTGGAGGATTTGAGCTAACTGCAAGTGTGTGAGGAAGCTAAATATTGCTTTCAGTAACAAGAATAGGCTCCCAACATTCACTTTTATACCAGTCTTACTGAGTTAACTTCCCAAAGCTAACTGTGCATATGTGCAGTGTGCATATCTGATTGTTCACAGGACAGTGGTTAACCTTCCCTTGTTGTTCTGTCCAAGGCTTTGTTTGTCTAGGGCTCCACAGGAGTTTATGTTGTTAGCTGTCCATTTTCTGTGTTTGCCTTCATGTGATGAGGCTGTGTCTGCAACATTAGTCCTTTGACCCATGGTGTCTTAGAATTTGCCAGGGAGTTTTTCTCATTTGTGTTGTGCATGAGGACATAATGGATAATGTTTACTTAAAAAGACCCATATTGTTGTGCTATGCAGTATATAATAATTCCTCACTGTGAGGCTTATTTCTTACTGGCAGAGAAAGTAGGATCATGTGTGATATTGTGGTCAAAAGCTTAACCAATTCCAAGAAAAACAAGAAAAAAAAGATGCAAGCAATTCCAGTGTCGTTATCCAGTTTGGCAAATGTGGAACACCACCGTAACTCAGCTGCATGTTTATTCAGCGTTAGATCTTCAGTATTGATGTTTATTGCTTGAAATTCAAAATTTATGCTCAGAAATTGTTATTGATCTGTGTTGTCAAATCTAAATGGTTTCTTGGATAATCTTAATACTGTAGTACTTTGCTGAATATTTTAGTGATGGTTCATTGATTATATAATGTTATCACCAGTACGTCCAGTAGCATAGTAAGCATAGTAACAATCTCTAGGAATTTCATTCATACTCAAGAGGTACTCGCATTCCAAGTATTTACTTTTTGAAATTCTCTGTCAAGGTACCCACATCATTGCAGTCATACTCCAATGCTGTGTTTTTGCAATGATATGTGGAGTTTGTGTGGACCAACTCTTTGTGCATTCTTTCATCTGACAAACATGGACTTGTGCCTCACCACAATATACACCACAAAGCTGCTTCATATATGTTCATGTCTATAAAAGAAAGCAAGATATTGAAGTAATTTCATAATATGCTTATGAGTGCAGTGGTTGATAGCATTGCATGAGAGTATGTCACTTGGCCTGTACATAGTTCTTGAGTATTGCTGGAATTACCCAGAATGTGTCCAGAGCTATTTAGTACCTCCCTAAGCATGCTGTATTTGTTTTAAAGGAAAAAAAAATACAAATGAGAGGAATGCTCAGATTGTGCTTGTAGTCTAAGAAGAATATCCTTGAAACACAAAAATTGTTTGCTGTAGTTCTTCATGTGGTGGGCCATTACCAATCAGATCACAAGAAAGAATAGGCTTCAGGTTGCTTGAGAGGTTGTTTTTCACAACTAACAACAGACACTGTAGCCCTAATTCCCATAGAACTCTCAAATAAAGTATAACAGCAGAGAATAGAAAGAATTTTACTAACATTACTGCAGTTATAAAATTTTGTAATTGTTGTCCGTTAGAGCTTAGGACTTTGGGCTTGTATTTTCAAGGATTATACAACAAAGGGTGAATATTTTTTATGCTAATGGGGGCTTTGCTTAAAAAAGAAGTTATCTTTAAAATGTTACTTTGTTTGAACACTTAGTATTTTCCAGTTGCTTCTTAGACAATTAGAAAAGGTGTACCATAATTCTTCATAACTTTATGATATTCTAATTAACCTCTATATTATAAAACTTTTTTGTGTATAATTAGTGTGAACTTTCAACACTTACATGCAATATTCTCTCATCCTCTTTGGTGTTTATCCCTGACATTAGCAGAACAAAGCAAAAAAACAACAAAAAAATAAGCCCATCTCACAGCCTCAATACTTGAAATACAGACCTTCCATTGCTTAACCTTTGTTGACATACTCTAGTTTGGGGAGGTTATGTAGTTACATATCCAAGGTGTTTCACATCTGAAAAAAAATCCATGTTTTGTATAAGAAGAGATGAGATACTGTATTAAGGCAGTTGTCATATTTGTGATAATCCATGTTTAAGCATCCATTTTCTATCACGATTCCACACTCCGTTTCCACGTTCCACTGCCTTCCTCGTATTCACCACAAATGCTTCCACCTCACACAGTGAACTATGCTGGCCAGACGGCTCTCAGGCATAGTGCATGGAGGGCTACTTGTGTCTCACTATTTTTGGGGCAATTTATGCTATTCAGCAGATGATTGTATAGCTCTGGTATTGTTGTTTCACAATGTTTGAAGAGACACAAGTACAAGAGCTCTCTTGCACAGATGCCACCTAAGTTGGTGATTCTTATCTTTTCTAGGCTGCTCTGTTTATTAATATGTGATGCGCTGCTTGTAATGGTAGCTTGATTATTTTTCCCAGGGCGAGGAATAAGTGTGGCATGTTGGGAAAGCCGTCTCCAGCATATATGTAGGTTCACTCAGTGTGTTTTGTACAACCATGTGCCTCATTATTTAGTGTAACTAGCAGCATCTCTCACATGTTCGAATTTGAATGGTGCTTGTGCCATCACAAACTATTATCAGGAAAGAATGGATGGGCATGTTTTGGCAAGTTTCGAGGATGGAAATCTGTTAATTTTGAAGCATCGAATAGTGTGATATAACTGCAGGTCAGTGGGAGATATTTGCCAACCATGAATTTATTTAGTACTGTATACTTATTTAATTTTAACACAAACATAACATGCCTTTCATTTTAAGGGACAGAAGCAATTCAGTATACTTGAATAAGTTTCTTTCATGTGAGAGGATGCTGCAACTCTCAATGTTGGTGCCCCTCCTTGCTGTGTTTAGAGTCAGTCATTTTTGGGCCAGGTGTAGAGCTTGCTTCCTATTGCATGATATTCCCTCAATTCATGAAAGTGTTAGGGCTCAGGTTAATATTGAATCCAATGCAGGTTTTGCATTTGTGGTTTACCCTTGAAGTGTTGCTCTGATACAGCCTGCATTACTTTACACCATAGGAAATGTAAGGGAATTGTCAAGAGCCATGTCTGTGGTACATAATCACGTCTTTATTTTGTTTATTTACTTATTTTATTTTATTTATGTTTTTATTTTTTTTATTTTTTTTAAGATTCTTGCATAGGATTCTTTTATCATCTGAAGGACTGTTTAGGAATGGATATGTATTTGTTGTTGGTGTCTAATTGTGGAGGTTTGCTAATCTGCAGTAGAGATGTGACCCTGATATATTGATAGGGAGAGATTTTGCACCTTGTTGGAAGGGCTCCATGTTTGGGAGATTCAGCTTCAGCCCAAATCTGAAGAAGATAACTTAACATGTCCTTCATATTGTATGTGTATTGGCTTGAACTGTAGATGCCTTGAGCTGCTCATGTGTAGTTCTCCCCTTTTACTGTCAAGCTGGCCTTTTATACATGTATTCCTTAGGCACTACTAAATGGCTCATTTATCCTGTTGTGGCCCTCTGTAGTTAGGTAGTGTTTTCCTTTTTCTGTATGGTAAACCTGACTTTGCCAAATACTTCCACATTTCCCTCTCCATCTTTTAAGTGATAGAAAGCAATACATCTCTAGTTTTTAGCCTGATGAGAATAATATCTTATTGTAGTTTTTTATCACCACTGGAGGGTTTCTAGATTTTTACTTTTAATTCTATAATGTGTGGTGCTCCCTACCTTGCCTAATAGGTGAAATTCTTATCCATCTCTTGGTGTAAAACTTTTATTCTAGAAGATGTTTTACAGGTTATAAATTTCAGTTTATATAAGCAAGTAGCCACATCAGACTCTTATTTCACCATTCCACAGCATCCTGGGTTCACTTTTTGCATTAAGTCATCTTTACTCAAATGAAGCACAAGAACAGTGTCGAGTTCCCCTATTAGGCATATCTGGGGATGCCAATGTGTGTATAAAGTATTATGGCTTGATGTTCAAAGCTCACGGTATTCTACTATATATACTACCTCAGCCTTAAACATGCTAAGCACAATATTCATAAGTTGGACATAGTTCTTGATAGTGTCAGAACTAACGACCAGGTTAAAAGTTTTACAACAAGTTTAGTAAATCCCATGCAAACCGTGGTCATGTTTTCCTCAACGGTGTGTGGTATTATGGTGAAGCTTGGTGATCCCTGAGACTGTGCGTGTAACCAAGGACAGCAGAAATATTAAGCAGGTGATGTCAACATACCACCACATTCTGTTGTGGACAATGAACCTTGTGTGATTGAACACCTTATATTCTGTCAGCAGCAGTTCTGCAATTGGCAGTTGATGTGCTACAACTGACAATGCCTTTTATCAAAATTTTTTGATATATTAAAATATTTTTTTTGAACTTATAATTGAAGATATTGCTGCTAACAGAGGTGTGGAAGCTGGGGCCATGAATGATATTACAGGCAGGTAGCTGTGACATGTGTTGTGAAACAAAACCATTTTTATGCAAATCTATATTTTGATCTGTGAAGGGCATAGCATCAAGATGTAGTTATGCATAAATTTTTGAGTTGTGGAGAACAAACATGGCTTGTCCTGTGGCTTACCTGTAGTGGTTCCTTCGTGACCCTTGCTCTGCTTGTGTGCTATCTTTGGGTCAATTCCTAAAAGTTGTGGTGTGGTCAGTGTGATGTGGCGGCCAGCTGCTGTCTACCTAGCTCATGTTTAATATTATGTCCATGTGGTTGGAAAGTTTTATACTGAACTTGTTTAAATCTGTTTGTTGCATTGGCTTTTTCTGTGTAGATGCAAAACTCACTTTCTGCATTTGACTATTGACCCCAAATTAACATTTTATTGAATTTATTATTGTTTGAACAAGCCCATTAATAGCACATTACGAAGATTATCTCATTATTTTAGTAATCACTTATTTTATCTTAAAGATCATCACTTTATTGTATACACATATTGTGGTGCAATTTTGGACAGTGGGTTTTCCTCCATAATTAGGATTCAATGGCACAAATGCCGCCACGCACACAAGACCGTGGGCCCTATGTTACCTGCCTTCATATGGCTCCTCCAAGTAACAGGGGCAGAATTCTTTATAAGCACCAGTTCTTGTAGCAGCAAATAAAAAAAACTTTGAGGATTACTGTATTTTGACAAGTAATTTACTGAATGTCAATGACTTTTGGAATGTAAAGCCTTGTATGTGGTGACAAAGAATTCTGGTTAGCATTAATGGTATTAACCCTGTGTATGGAGATTGTTTTCAGTATACAATAATTACCATGTTCATATATATTTTTTTAAAGATGAGCCTTTGGTTTTAGTGGTTCTTCTCAGGAAACATTTATTAAGAATTTCCCATAGACTTTTTCAGCAAATGGGTTATCATTTACAGAGGCAGTGTTTCAAATTGTATATTGGGTATGGTGACATACGGGCCCCGTCCGCACTAACCTGCCTTGTAGTACAAATGTGCATTTTGTATTTCACCTAAATTCACTTAATTTTCATGAATATGCATATTATATAAATGATTATATATATATATGAACACACACATATGTGTGTGAGCAAATAACTGAATGGGGGTATTGTAGATTTCTCCATTGCTTCACTCTAATGATAATGTTCTCAATACCCAAGGGCCTTGGTCACTTTCTGTCATATAGGAGCATGCAGGGAAAAGTGTTGCAAGTCTAAATTACTGATTTCATCTGATCAGGAAAAGAAACCATGCTTCTTGTTCACCTTTCAGTATGAGCTACCAACTTGAAGCATTTGTTATATCGATGTAATTACCATTGTATGATGTGTACCTTCTCTTGAAATATGTAATAATGCGCAATAGAGTTGTAGCCTATAATTGAAGCGTAACCTCTTCAGCTGTAGTCTGATGTATCCTTTATTTAATCACAAGTTCCTCAGACTTTATCCCTGTTAGAGGAATGCAATTATTTTAGAACTATCACGACCCTGTGTGCTCCCCTTTTTTCTATGCTTGTGATTTGTTTACACTACAGACATCTTGAGACGTAATCAGCAAACATGAGTCTTCATTAGTATATACGAAAGGAGTACTTTCCTTGTTACAAAATCCTGAAATGATCCTGAATGTTGTACTGTGGACATATTGTTACTGAAGTGATCATAGTCTCAGAATCTTTGCGTAGTGTCATGCAGCATTTACGCTTAAATCGGTTGTAGTAATCAGAGAGTCAGCCAGGTAAACAAAATCCTCTTGGTTAGACTTGAAGCATTGCGCTTGCATTTTTTTTTTACCTGTTGGTTTGTGATATTTTCCAGCGATTTTTACTGTGATGTGACGAGTGACTTTGCAATTTATATTTGTAAATGTGGGCGAACTTGGCCATTTTCATCTATTGATGCTTTTGCTTCAAGCCAAATGATAAAGGCTTCCAGGATAATCAATGTCCTCTTTACTGATGCAACACTTGTAAATGGTGACAAAAATTTTAGTCCAGGTACCTCTTTCTTCCCATCCTCCCTGCTTCTTACTGCAGTCAACCTGCAATTTGTATGCATGTTTGTTGCAAGTTTACTAATGATCTCGTAGGCTCCCATTCCCTTGTAGGCAGTAGACATTCCAAGGCATTCCATGCTTAACTCACATTGCATTCCAAGCTTACAACTTTACCCTCTTGGCCCAGATAGTGTTGAAGTGCAAACCTGGTAGGATCATTATTGAAAGGTTAGATTCCATTTGTTAAATAATAATTTTATTTAGACTTATGCTTTCTTCACAACTGTGTGAAAATCTAATGTCTGCCAAATATAAAACTGATTATTCCTAAAATGTAATGCGAAACCCAATTTTATTGTCTTAAACAATTCTGCTCCTACTGCATATGGCCATTTTTGCTCACACATAATTTTTATGCTTCTGGTATGTAGAATTCAGTATTTTCAAGCTTGTAAGTGTAATTGCTTTATTAATCACACTTCAGGTGTCCCTGATTATATTTCCTCACTATGAGATTTTTGAAGGTTTGTTATATGTACGTTCCTATAGCATTACTGTTATAATTTTTCTCTTACCCCTTAGAGACCAAAGACATGAATAGTTAATGGATATTTCCATGTCATGTAATTTGTCAACTGACAAACTTTACCTGCTGCTGTTTCCTGCTAATAGGTATTCCCTTTCCATTTTATCATCGTGATCAGGTATCAAATGTATCAGTACAGTGTAGGCAAGATGATAGTTTGATGCTAGTACCAATAAAATAAACACTAACGCCTCATGTCTGTGAACAAGTTGTGCAGTTGTGAATGTCTACCAATGTGGTTTTTATCTTATGGCTAATAAAGGCAAAAAAACAAAAAACAAATAATGCATTTTCTTAACTATCCTATAAAATTTAGAAGATACAGGTAAAATGACCAAATTAAGTGACTGCAATAATAATGGGACTTAAAATGTCATGAAAAACTTTTCCAACTTAAGTATTCATTAGGGAATAACTTAAAGTTGGTTGGTTTTGTGATGTATAAAAGCATTTCACCATACAGAAGGGTGTAAGTTATTTTACTTTCCAGAACTAATGGCAGGAATTTGGTCCCAGATTTTAGTACATTTTCTGCTGAATTTTTATACAACTACTGTAATAGTTAAAAAATATGGTCATGATCACAATACACTACTGTACTTAATACTAAATAACTGTACAGTGATCCCTCGTCTGGTCCCCGAGATATGCTTGGGACTGTCAGTTGATTGAAAATGTTTAAAGGAGGGCCACCAGGCTGGGAGCAGTGACCGCCCCCCCCTCCTCTTGCCTCTTGGACGGGTGTCAGGCTCTGCGCCCAGGTTACCTGTGACTATAAGTTAAGTCTATATAAGTTGCCACCTACCCCCAGACAAGGGGTGCCCTGCACTATCACAGGTTCCCCTGCCGGATCGATCGTATCGCCAAGTCCCGCCTCCCGTTCAAGGAACGGAGTGCATGAGGGGGATGAAAAAAGGAAAGAAGAGGACTTGGAGAGTAGAGACAGTCTCCCTACAACGCCACGTTCGGTCAGCCAATCAGAGCACCTCAGTAAATGTGCATGTATCACGCCACCGTGGGGCACTGCTGATTGGCCAATACAGGACGTAGATGCACGGAGAGTAGTCAAAATTTGGGGAGACCAAATATAAGTTTTCCAGAAGCTTGAATGTTTCTCGTACAATCTGAGATTGTAATTTTTTTTTTTTTTTTTTTTATTGGGCACCCCCCTACATCCTTGTGTAAGGTGAAGAACAGAAGCATTTACAGCGCCCAACAGGGAAGCATGCTAAGTTCATGCTTGCCTATATGTCTCATGAGTTAAGGCGTAGAAGCTGAAGAGTCAAGGGCGTAGAAACCTGAAGAGTCAATGGTTTTTATGTCATCAAGTTATTGGAAGCTCCAACAACTTTCCCTGAATACGAATTCGCAACTTTCGACTTACAACAGGTACCTACTTTACTGCTAGGTGAACAGGGACTAATGGGGGCTAGGAAGTAAGTCCAAACAACTTCCACCGGCCCGGGAATCGAACCCGTGACATCTTGCTTGCGAGGCAAGAGCGATACCACTTCTACCACCGGCCCCCTGAGATTGTAATTGCATAGTCGCTATGTTGGGTAAGGTCAATCAGTAGGATTGAGTGTCCAATCACAACGAAGTTGCAGACTGATCAACCACGCAGCAGAAAAGGCAAGTCTTCACAGCTCCGGGTCCAGCAGTCATGATCTCCGTAGCCAGGCCTACGCGTATTTATACGGCTGCTCAGGATCAGAGACGCGAGGCGTGAATTGTGAGGGGCCAATCACTGTGGAGTACGCGCGAGATGACGGAAGATGAAGGTCCAAGCTAGGTCGGCGATTGTACCCCTACGTCCGTACCTGAGACTTAGTCTGTCGACGTAGCTGGCTGTAAGCTGATTGGCTGGTAAGCGAATGGCAGGAGATCAGTCGGCAGTTGTAGGGGAGAGTATCCACTACATCCTCACTACACAGCAACTCTCTAGGACTGCACTGTACTTACAATATATTTATATACAGAGAACGCTATTGTGAGTCACTTATTACCTCCATCCTGAGTGTGAGATTGTAGTGTACAGTATGTGGCCAGTTGTCAGTTCTCTTTGGTTGTCTATTGTCTCTTTGTATGGGCTCACAAACGTACGTACATGTAAGATATCTCACAATCAGGATTGAGGTAGAATAGAAACTCACAATGCGTTTTCTGTATATATATTGTACAGTGCAGTGCTACATGGGTCCACTACCCAACATGGGATAATTATTTTCAACTAATTATCCCTAACATACAGTTACAACACCCTTTGTTGACATATATCTTCTAAGGAGTGTTTCAAGGTGGAACACTGGGGCTCAAGGACCGTTGTTATGGTCGGTGGTAGCCAGCCACATGGCGAGTCTGGGGTCTGGCACTACGAGGCAATGGAGCATATTAATCAGGCCACATCGGTGCCATCATTTCATATATGGTCCATGCTGAGTAGCTACTACATCCGGGGCAGTTGTCGAGTGATCCAAGAGTCACAATTGGATCTTGGGAAACATGGTGAATAGCGGCGTGATGCGCGGGTATATATATTGTAGTGGATTTCTCCCCTAAAAACGCTGTTTGTCGCTGAGTTGCCGACCCCGTGAATTCCCCAGTGTATGCCTCGTGGTCTGGGTCAACCAGCGCCGCCATACATCACGGAGGTCAACTACTACGCCACAAATAGGGTGGTGGACGAGTGGAACAAGCTTAGCAACTTTGTAGTAAGTGCTGGAACTCTGGAAAGTTTCAAAAGGAGGCTAGATAGATTCATGGATGATAGAGAGTGGTAGTAACTCTCTACAGGAACTGCCATGCACAGGCCAACCGGCCTATTGCAGACTCCTTATGTTCTTATGTTCTTAGTGTGACCCAAACCCATACCTCCACAGTATCCCTGAGTTGCCAGTGATCGCTACTCACGCAATGACAATAATTACAAACAAACTAACTGTTACTCATTCAAAGATGACCCTCAGTTGACAAAGGTCTGGCAAATTACTTGAGTTCATATACACAGACTAATTCAAAATTGAGCTTCCCAGGAGAAAGTGGAATAACAACTGATCGACAACTGTCTTCACAGAGGCGAGGGAACACAATGTAGCGACTATGGGGAGAAACACGTCTTCTCCTCAGGGGTTGCTGAAACACTCATGTTTTGGGGTCGTGGAGGTTAATAAGAATCATTAGTTAAATAGACTAGCAGTCAACGTGACCATGACACCTGGAGGGCGAAAATATAATAATAATAATAATAATTAATTAAGTAATAATAATAATAATAATAATAATAATTAAATAAATAAATAACAATAATAATAATAATCATAATAATAATAATAATAACAATAATAATAAATAAATACATACAAAAAATAAAAATCAAGAGTGAGAAACAACAGTATGCATGTTGTGATGTCAATAGTAAGAGACACAATTGAAAACCTGCAATTGTGTCTGATTCTGATTTTCTCTATTCATCTACCTATTACAGAAAGAAATTATGGGGAATTTTAGTTATTCTGAGCACTTACAAATTATAATTACTTAGCCTACTTATAGGAAAATGTAGAGGAAAGGCAATAACTTGTGTTTATTTCTCACTCTCTTTCAGAACTATCTATGCAATGTTTGTATGTAGTCTGTAGGTTATATATTTAAATTGCATATTTTTCCTGACTTATTTTTATGTTATGATTATTTACCTACCAAAAAATACTTCAAATATATTTTGTGTTGCATTATTGAAAGATATTAGAGAAAAGTATAAAATATAAATGGCAAGAGCATATAGTTAGCGTAATTTCATTTTCCTTTGGCATATTTTGGGCCATGTTAGCACATTTTCAGAACAAGCTTAGCATATTCTCTCTCCTGTGGTAGGGGGCAACACTGTGGCATGTGGCGACAACAACCACAGCTGACGGAGTAGTGAGGAGGCGGCTGGGGCGTGAGCTGTCAGTGCCGGTGAGGGAGTGGGTAAGTGTACTCCATAACCCAGCCTTTGTAATTTGTCACAAGCCACTTTGATGTGGCTGATTTATGCAGATTAAGAATTTATTGAAGGTTCTAAAAAGTGATATGAGCAATTTGTATAAGCAAGACATGAAGTATGTTGATAGTAGAGACTATCGGACCTGTGGTGTACCCTGGTGTACCCATGGCTTAATTTATAAAGGTCACGTCGCCTCCCAGGAGCTGACTGAGAATAGGGAGTGGACCATGGCCCTCAGGGTGCCCACGGCCAGGTCAGTAGAGAGAAAATGGAAGAATGATTAACAGTACTGTATATAATGCTTGTGTATGATACTAATGTTCGTAAAATTATCTTTTAGGGGAACCATCGATTTTGAATGCTTAAATTTTGTATTTATTTATTTTTGTTTGAATCAATAGTTTAGACGATTCTAAGACACTTCTTCTCTGGCATTTTGCCCACTCATGATTACTTTTAAGATTAAATCGAAAACAAATCGAAAATCATTGTTGTTGTTTTTTTAAATTGTAGTTGAAATTATGTTTGTTGCGATTTTTTGATGTGTAAATCACACCAAACCTAACAAAACCTAACCTAACCAAACCTGGTAAAATTATCGTTTTGGGGATCCAGCAATTTTTTAATATATATATATATATATATATATATATATATATATATATATATATATATATATATATATATATATATATATATATATATATTTCATGTAAATCCACAATGAAAATGGATAAGATAAATCTTGATAAAATCTAGGTGCTCCGTTTTTCCATTTTCCGTGTGATTTTATCAAGATATATATATATATATATATATATATATATATATATATATATATATATATATATATATATATATATATATATATATATATATATATATATATATATATATATATTAAAACCAAAAGTAACCAAAGCATTGTCAGAGACTGCTAGATCAATCAGGTCAATTGCAACATGTAATACACAGTCAGCTGGAAGCAAAACTAGATCTAGAGTGTATCCAGAAAGATGTGTTGGACACAACATATGATTCACTAAATTTTGTAGATCGTAGAATTTCCTATAAATCATAGGAAAAATGTTTCAAGAGATGGGTTGTCAACACAATAATTAAAGTCATTACAGATCAACTGTCTCTCATTCTTCCCTGAGAAAGTCTCTGAAAACAAGCCAACTTGGTCCATGAACTCCCTATCTGTACCTGGGTGACCAGGACGATACACAATAGCAATCCTAATAACTTGGCGATGAAGATTTATTAATGACTCCATAAATTCAAAAGAGGAAAAAACTGCCACTGCTAACCAGCCTAATGTTGAGCGGGGCCACAGTAAAGATCAGCTCCACTCTGCCACACGGAGCTCCTCCATGAACGAGAGAATGTGTCTTGGGAAGAGCACTATGAATAATGTTGTTGTGTGATTCATACAACCAGGGGCGTTCCTAGAGTATTTGGCACCCGGGGCGGACCTATCCACTGGCACCCCTTCCTTCCAGAGATGAATAAATATACAGTGGTCCCTCGGTTAACGAGCACAATTCGTTCCAGCAGGTTGCTCGTTAACCGAAAAACTCGTTAACCGAAACCATTGTTTCAATGGGTTTTTGGGTAATTGGTTCCAGCTCACCGAAAATAGCCTAAATTCAACAAAAAAGGTAGAAAAGTACACTTACTTTGAGGTGTGTATGTAGAAGGCTCCTGGATGATGATGATGATGATGATGATGGGAATTAAAATGGGGGTGGAGAAGGAAGAAGAGAAGGCATTGGGGTGGAAGAGAAGTCACCCCATGGCACCATTTCACCCATAAAATTTTAGTTCTCTTGGTGTATTTCAAGATTATTTTCTTTAAATCAACACTGCACTGCATTATATATTGTCAATATGTAAAATATATTTCAAAATGACCAATAATTTGCTTGGAAACACAGAAAAAAAAGCATTTAGTTGAAGAGAGTCTCAAGTAAGATGTTACCTCCACTGAAAACAGAGAGAGGCTAACGCCTGTCTGGTGTGTTAACAGGCTGGATGGCACGCCAGAAACTAGTTTCTTTACCTTCAATTATGTTCAATAATTGTAAAAATGACTAAAAAAGTTAATATTAAACTTTTAAAATTATTGAATAGTATAAACTTCTTGATATTTACTAAAATAGTAAGGCATTTAAGCCCTAAAACCGATTACTGTATTGGCGGACTAATACTACAGCTGGTGGACCGCCAAATGCAAGCGAAAACATGTTGAAGTCGGCTCGTAAAAAACTCGTTAATCGAGGGATTACTCGTTAACCGAAGTTAAGAATCTTATGGAAGGTAAATCGTTAACCGAAATCTCGTTAACCGAGGCGACCAACCGAGGGACCACTGTACAGTAAAAGTAAAATACACAATCGTCCCTAGAGTACTGGGCACCCAGGGCAGGGCATTCCTTTGCCCCCTTACTCTTCCTCTACTGAGACGAATGACAAAAAAAATATAATTTTAAGGAATTTTGAATTATACAAAGTAAATATTATAAAAGTTTTAGTTTTCTTCTATTAATATGGAAAATATTATTTTTTTACTAAAGTATAATGTAGCCCACATCAAGTGTAATATTCATAAATAAAAAGCAGGTTTGTAAATGTGGTTGATATTTAGGAAATCTACAGTATATATAAACAATTGTATTTCCTAATTTCAACAAAATTTACACGATACAACAAAGCACATAAAAGTAATTCAAATATACAAAGTACAGAAACCATACTGTATATAACTACAAGTTACACATTAAATAAAGTATTACACAATGAGAAGGGCGCAGCCTTCTTCAACTCACTTTTATCAGAAACTGGACCAATAGCACTAGATTGTTCTAAAAATATAGGAAACCACGAGATACAAGCGGTATACTTTCATCTAACGTAAAAAAATATATACAGTGTATTAGTTTTACGGCCTCATCGTTCGTGACTTAGCTTCAGCAAACTTACCAATTTTTTCATCAAAATTAAATGTCTGGGCACATTCATTTTCAATAGAAATCATAGCTAGGCTGTTCAATCTTGCCTGAGTCATGCTAGAATGAAGATAATTCTTGATGAGTTTCAGTTTCGAGAAACTTCTTTCACATGATGCAACAGACACATATTGTTAAAAAGAATCTCAGGCACAATGACAAGTTTGGCAAGGTTTAACAAAAGTCACATTTGACAATAAACTTCAGGAACTGCAAGACTGTCCATTTATTTGCTTCTTCAGGTGTGATTTTGGCAGCCTCCGTGTGTCTGTGAAGTCGCATAATTTCTACCATGACATCCTCATTAGAAATTTCATTAAAAATCTTGGTCATGCTTGAATTTGAAATACTCCCCTGAAGTTGTTCTTCTTTTGCAGAAAGCAAATAGCTTGGCTGAATAGCTGCAAATATTGACAAGATGATATCCATGGCCTCTGAACGAGCATCCAATTCTAGACTAAATCGGTCTAAGCATTCAAACATTGATCTCCTCATTTCTTCTTGCATTGTCAGTCCAGCATCCATAGCCATCTCTCCTGGCATCATTTTCTTACATCTTATCCTCCCTCTTGTTTCCATGGAGATGCATTGTGTAGTTGCATATTGAATTGCTCTCCACAATTTCATTCCGCTGACCTCAAAGAAACAATTTCAAACCATTGAGCTTTACAGTGCACTTTTCAAGACTTATTCCTTCTGTTTGCAAATACTTCTGTGTGAGATTCACTTCTTCCAGTCCATCACACCAAAAAGAAAGGTAACCCAAGAAATAAAAATCACATACAGCTTTAAGCAAAACTTCAGCTGTTCCTCTTGTGTCAACATTTTCTCTTTGATCCGTCAATGTTTCCAGGGCTGTGATCAGCTTCTCAAATTGTTTCTCGAGAGGCTTTACGGCATCATGATGTGCACTCCATTTAGTCTAAGAAAGATTAAAAGTGAGAAATGATATATATATGTTGTGTTGTCAAAGTAAGAGAAACAATTGAGACCCTGCAATTGTGTGTAAATGAGGCAGAAAGTCAGATCAGCAACCTGGGACTTGGTCACAAGTTTTGTGATGCCATATGGCAGCAGGGTCTAACCATTAGACAACACATTATGCTTCCAATATCTTCCCAGGCAGTAGTACCTCCCTGTTTGATAGTGGTGGTGATGGTGGTGAGAAAGCAGAAAGATGGGGGTGAATTACCATTCGTAATAGTAAAACATTCTTTCGTTAATCGGCAAATGGTTACCGTAGTAAAAACTTGCTTTCGTTATAGTGTGGATTCGTTCAAAGGATTAACGTTGAGTGAGAACTTACTGTACTTATACTGCCCCTTTGGCTGGTCGTGGAGTGAAGGTTAAAGTGAATAGTTAAGAATTTCTGACACATTCCTGTACAATAACATGGAAATTAATGTTTATTTTTTGTACAGTGAAGATAAGTACTGTGGATAATTTATGCTTTTTTTTTTCTCTGCTTCTTAAGATATTGAGGCTTCAAACATGACACCAAAATTAGAACTGACTGTGGATGGGTCAAGTGTAAGAGGACTACAGGAGGGAGCTAAGGAGATTGTTCAACATGTTCAACCAGATTGGAAACAAGATAAACTTGAATTTAAGGTGAGGAAGCAGAATGATTTATGTAAATATAAACACTGGAATTTTAGTTCATAGAATGGACTTTAATTTAGTAAATTAACTAATGCAACCAATAGTGCTGAGTGTATACATATTTTTTTAGGAATATCATCAGGTTTTGAGTGTTCTTTATTTATTTGTGGTATTAAATATGTTTAGGAAATATTCTCGGGTAAATTTAATGGTCAGCACTATGCAGCAGTAGTTTTCAGGTGCCTAAGGTACAATAGGGTGTGTAGTGTTACCGATATCAAACGATACACCCAAAGAATTCTGTGATTATGGAAACTATCCCTTTTGTTCCCTTGAAATACTAAACATTAAAATTCCAGCAATAACAAAATTGCTGGCGAGTTCAGTAAACAGGAACTCGGCAGGACTTCCACTAGGTACAAGACAAGGTGATGTCATACAATTACTGAAGTTTGCTTCTTTAGGTATAGATTTAGTTTTTGTCTTCTATGATTAGTTTAAAAAGAATTTTAAGTAAAATTAGTCTATATTTTTGTTGCAATATTTAATGTATAAATATGTATAAGGGTCCTCCTTATATGTTAGGGGTGTGTCCCACAGAAATACTACTTGTACTGTAGTGAAATTTATATAATGAAAATTTTTTCCACATAATAATTAATGTAATTAGGGCTACTGTACATGTGTTCCAACATGTACAATAATATGCCTTGATTGATCAGGATGTGTTCATAGAGAGAGGGAGAGAGCTCTCAGCAAATTCGCTTACAGTGGGGTCATTATAACAATGTATAGTATTTGATATGGAGATATGTTTATAACAATGTTATTTATTACCTTTGAATGTTACATGATGGCTCAATTTGGCTTCTAGTACACTAAGACAACTGATTAATGAATAAACCAGGGAATAGGCAGATGCACAATATGATACAGTATTACCGGTATTTATCAAGTGTTGATAAATACGCTTCAATATTATTTACTACTGAGTACTGTACCTGTAAGTGCTAAAGACAGTTGTTGTAAGCATGGGGGATGGAGAGCTGATTGTTTACAATAGAGTCCTTGTGTTCCAAGAGCTAGTCGGTCACTCATCCAAGTACTAACCAGACCCAACCAGGCGAGGATGGTCAGCTGTTTGAACTAAACAAAGCACCAAGAATTTAATATGATGCAATAACTTAGGTGAGGTTAAGTGTGTGATTTTTTTAGGAAAATTTATTAATTTATGTTAATGTTTTATTAACCCAACACCAAATGAATCTAAATAATATGGACATTATGGTGAAATCTCATATAGGATCGGGATATATCGCGAGATAGGGTCCAACGATGTTTGCTATACAGTGAACCCTCACTTTACGCGGTCAATTGAACCCACGGCGGCCCACGTAAAGTGAGAAACGCGTAAAGTGAACAACATAACATATGGGATTAATTGAAATAGAGACCGGGCCGACCCCCAAACTCCACTTTTTCAGACACAATACCTACGTTGTAGTAAAAATAACTTCTTAATTTTATGATAGTACGCACACACAATTAATAATTAAGAGAAATTTCAATAATATTAGGTTTTTTAACACTTGCATTAGTAGAAAAGATGGCTGGGCACACGGGGATGGGGGGTTGGTTCCGAGGCAGAGGGCAGATTAATTATTGGCCCTCACCTGTATCACTTGTATCAATTGTATCACTATCCACCACAGAGGCTTGCAGGACCTCTTTGTCAAACCCCTCAAAGTCCATATAAGTCCATATCCTCACTATCATTATCACTGACTTGGGCCGGATGTGGTGGGTGGCGGGTGAAGAACTCGGTAATGTTTTGATGACTTGGCGACCTTGTGCGCACCCTGCTTGCGCCGCTCTCCGCGTAAAACGGTACACACACCGTGGAAAGTGAGCATTCCGTGTTCGGCAGGGTAACGCATAAAGCGAGGGTTGACTGTATACTAAATCGCGATATATAATTACATGTACTGTAATCAATGGGGAAAATAGGGTTAGATTCTAGATGTCCCAAAAAGTGACTAAACTTGACTTCTATGCGGCATTCAGTGACTGTTGCCTCATAGTCAATATCTGCAGCAGTTGTTGGCTTTGGGGTCGATACTCTCGTCCCTGACACCACTACTACTACTACTTTGCTGTCACTCGGAATCGAGTATGCCGATCATCCAGCTATGATACAATTATATGAGTTATTAGGGATGTCACCTAGGTTGGTGAATTTTGAGGTGACTAAAGAGGCCGATACGGGACAGGCAGCGTAATTACCATTCGTTGCACATGTGGAGGGCTCCATCTACTGTGGGAGGGACGGTGGCAGTGTCTTTCCGGCTTTAGGGCTTGTCTGCCTCGGTTTGCAGTCGGGCTAACTCAAAAGCATTGACACCTTCTCATGCGGTGCTTCTCCAAGCGTTATGATGTGGAGTAATCGACGCCCAGGTGAAGGGGTCGATTTGGCACTTTTTCAGGTTTGTCTTAAGACTATCCTTATACTGTACCTTTTCAATTGCTCACTGGCGTTACGTTTACTATTCGTTAGGTGACTGTAAGGTAGCTGCTTTGGCAGTCTGCTGCCATCCATGCGGGTAACATGGCCAGTCCAACGTAATTGTTCATGGATAATGGTAGCCTCGATGCTCCTAAAGTTGGTGTCAGCAAGAATACTGGCATTTGTTCTCTTGTCTTCCCAGCGAACTCGGAGGATGGAACGTAGACTACAGTACTTTGGTGAAAGTTTTCAAGTGCCTTGAGGTGCCTCCTGTATGTGACCCATGTCTCACTGCCATATAGCAGGGTGGGGAGGACCACTGCTCGATATACGTGTAGCTTTGTTGATAATTTCAGCTCCCTACAGCTGTAGACACAATTTCAGAGTCTGCCAAAGGCTTGAGATGCACATCTGATCCGATGCTGAATCTCTTCATCGATATCTGCTGTGGTGGACAGGTGGGAGCCGAGATACCGAAAGTGGGCAACATTAGAGAGGGTAGTACTGTTAAGTACTAAACCCATTTTTATGACATATTAAACAAATTTGCTAAGGGCATACTAAGCTCTTCCTTACATTCCTTTAATATTCTGGCAAATATCTCATCGGGACCTAGTGACTTATTAGGCTTTAGTTTGTCTATTTGTTTATTAACATCGTTACTAGTCACTACGATCACGCTTAATCTATTTTCTTCACTATCTCCGTATATAGTCGGTGCCTTGGGTATTATGTTTAAGTTTTCAGTGGCAAAAACTGTTGAAAAATATCTGTTCAGATTATTGCTCATTTCCCCGTCGTTATCAGTTAGCTCACCGGTATCTGACTGTATTGGTCCAATCTTGTCTCATGGTTTAGTTTGATACATTTGGAAGAATCCCTTAGGGTTTGACTTCGCCTCCCTTGCTACCTTCAGTTCATTATTTCGCATTGCTTTTCTTATCTCGGTCTTAACCCTACTGGCCAATACTTTATAATAATCTCGGACGTAAACTTCAACACGTTTTATTCTCCTACCTATCGCCTTCCTTTGTCCAATAATATTCTTTAAATAATTATTTATCCATTTGGGGTCATTGTCATTTGATCTGAGTTTTATGTATGGTATATTCTGCCCTGTGCATTAAGTAATTCATTATTTAAATTGTTATGGAACTCGTCGACCTCAGATCTCGTGGTCAGGTCACCCTCAGCAGTCATATATTGATATATTGTGAGGTTACCATTGTCAGGTCACCAGGTAAAGTGAGGTCGCCCTCTGTGGTATTTTGTGAGGTCCTGTAATTCACCCCCAAATGTAATAGCCCTTCTCTCAGTGTACAATTCTTTATTGCTTTTCTTATTATCAGGTATACACAGAAGGTATTACAAATCAACTGATCGGAGTGTGGTGTGAAGACAGGAACAGTCAACTGCTAGTGAGGGTTTATGGCTGCATGACAGAAATGTTTATTGATAGAAATGCAGAAAAAAAAAGCTTTGAGGTAAGAATAAACAATCAATATGTGTTCAGATACATGCTGACTATAAGTAGGTAGGATCATTAAACATTGACAAACTTTGTTGTAATTTATGTTATTGAGTATAAGTTTAGTAAAGTTTTATACTTCGCCTTTTGAATTATTTCATCTCATGATATAAATTTTTCAGGTTTTACACAGATCTGGGTGTTGTCCACCACTGTATGCAACCTTTAGTAATGGACTGTGCTATGGATTCACCCAAGGTTCCCCCATTTCTCCCGACCTTGTCGTTCAGGAACCTATTTGGAGGGCCATCTCACAAGAAATGGCTAGATATCATAAAATAAAGGTAAAATATCTCAATCTACACTTCAGTTAAACCCTTGATGTCTGTGACAGTTATGTTCATGTTGATGAAATGTTGGTTAAAAACTTATGAGGAGAAATAAGGTGCATAGTGGGTCCAGAATTTCTGTAAACTGCTAATTAAATGTAAAAGTAAAAGAACTGTACTAGTACAGTACTTCAAATAAAAGCATTATTGTCCAGCATGGTTTAGTAACAGGTGTTTTTGTTTTCTGCCAATAATAATGTCCAGTCTATTTATTGATACAAAGTACAGTAGACCCCTGATTTAACACGATTTGATTCTAGTTCTTCAATGTAACACGATTCCCTAAATTACTCCCCTATTTTCAATTTAGCACAGTCAGGTTTGATTTTACATGGTGTAAGCCAAGTGCTCATCCACACAACAGTTACAGTCTAGGAAGTACAGCTCCTCCCCGACTTACGACGGGGTTAGGGACCCAAATCCAGGTCGTAAGTCGAAATGGTCGTAAGTCGAAAATGCTTAAATAATATACTGTACATAGAAAATCTAAAATGGGTGTCTCTTTTTCTTCTCAGCACCACAAAACTCTCACTTTTAAGCTTGCCAGCCATTTTAAAGTGAATTACAGATGAAAATTTTGTCTGTGTACTGACGTTGGGACTCAAAAATACGTAATTTGACCAAATTTTGGTACGACTGAGGCAGGTCGTAAGTCGAGTAGGTCGTAAGTCGGGGAGAAGCTGTGGTTTTCAGATTAATAGCTCTGACAGTGACTCACGTGTGACCTGAGGGAGGCCCAGCAGGTGCTAATGAACTATGTATACTATGGGAGACCCTGCTAGCTGGCGACTCAGTGCTGTGGAGTGAAGTCTCCCTCCCCACCTCGACTAGTGACGAGCGTGACTCCGTCTTCCGTCGATAGTGTTGTGAAAGTCATCTGAATATGAATGGGTGAATGAATGAAAATGACCTGCAGAAGGGGCTGCAGGGCCTTTATATTGGAGGAGAGCCAGCAGATGACCTCTCCTAATTAACACTTAACTCCTTAGATCTGGACAGCTGTGTTTGCCCAGGTGCGCTGTCACGTCGCAGGTCAGTAATGCTTCCTAATTATAACCGCCCAGGTGTGTCTTGGCTGGATGTGGTTACTTTAACACGGTCATATCACACGGTTAACTCAAGTACTTAGTGGCAGTCAGCTCTCCTGGGACTGTAGGGTGTGTATGTGGGTTACCACGAGGGCATCTACTTAATGTTATATGTGTTGTAGTTCTCTGGGCTGTAAGCTGTGGTCTGATAAACAATCATTACAATTCTTTCTTTTCTCGGCTAATGTCACGACTTTTCTACTGTGTTTGGGGCCATACTGCAAGGGCAAACACAAAGCAATGCAAAAACACAAAAAGTTCCAAACCCACTTTAGTAAAATGTTGGCAGTACGAGCATGTAAGCGAGACTGGCGGGTATCTCCAACTGGTGCATGGCGGAGGCAGAGCGGGGGAGGAGGCGACTCGTTGTTAACCCACTTATAGTCAAATTTTCCGAGTTGGGCAAATTATTTGGTCACATACAGTATATTTAAACACATACTGTACAGAAAAAATCGCGTTAGACAAACTAGCGTTGGGCAAGGGTTCACTGTATTAAGAGTAGTAGAAATTTGTTAGTTGAAATAAATTGGCATAAAGCAGTTTCTGGAGTTGTTATTACGTCATCTTGTAAAGTGGATTGGGGATTTTTGTAAACTAATTTAGGTAATGATGACATAAACTGTACTGGCACTTCAGAGAAACCTAAAATTCCATGCATGTTTATTTTTCTTGTTTATAGGTGGGCGATGTAGAACATCCTGTACTATTTCCTAAATTACAAGCTTTTTTGAAACTCACACCAAGCTCATTTGAAGATGTCAACAAGCAGATGATGTAAGTACAGTTCCTGTGCATAGCACTTAGATAGAGATATTTATTCAATAAAACCACCATACAAGTGTGCAGTGGTTCATCATGTACAGGTACAGACCCTTGAAACCGGACCTCAGAAAACCAGACATTTTCTTCCCAGGGTTAGGTTAAATTTTCTTCTGTGGCAACAAGTTTTGCTTCTACTCTCACTAACTGTTGGGGGGAGGAATGAGTAACGTGGGAAGGAACGTCCTCGCCTTTGTGGAGGAAGCCAACCTTCTACATAAGCTTTCAGTTTTATTTACTAATGTTTAAATGGTTTTATGAAAGTTTTGTGTTATTTATTGTGTGTTTAACTCACTTTATTTTATTTTAGTCTTTTAAACCTTAATCTTAATTCGGCGACATATGACCTAAGCTGTTACGTATCCAGGGATGTAATTACCACAATCACTCAATCTACCCTCCACCTCCCCTTACCTTCCCTATCCCTTTCCTATCCCTCTCCTACCCTACCTCGCCTACATGCCATATAGGTCCCGTGATAATTCCTCACTAAGCTACCCCTCATCCCAGCTAGGGAAGAAATTAATAGGCATACATGTCTTTAGTCTTTCATAGTACTTATTTTTATAAAGAGGAATACTGTATATGCATAGGAAGCAGAGGCAACCCCCCCCCCAAATTCAGAAATAACATATTTTCAGGTAATCACCCCTTAAGAAATTGGGCAAATGCCCTAAATACGTCTTTTCTTTTACCAGAATGTCACCCCAAAATCCTAAATTTATTGTGATTGTGGTGGATATTTTATCAACATCAGTTAATGAACTCTATACAGTGATCCCTCGATTAACAAACGGCTCAATTAACGAAATTTCGGTTAACGAATTAGCTCCCATATGGATTTTCAGTTCCATTAACGAACAAAACTTCGATTAACGACAGCCTTACGAGAAACACACTTTCTTGTGTGCATCAGGTGATCGGCTAGTTCGCCAATACAGTAATCGGTTCTATGTTTACATTTGTTTCTAGTGGAGTAAATATCAAGAAAGTTGGTCTCTTGAACATTTCTGCATTTTTTTATAATAAAATTATTGGTCATTCTGAAATTTAGTTAACATGTTGATAATATAGACAGTACAGGGAACAGTTTTTGTGCGCCCATCAACTGATTGAATCACCCAACAACGCTTCTCAGTTTAGCTTTGCTTACAGTGGAGTGAACATCGATTTTGTTGGTCTCTTGAATATTTTTGCCTTTTTACACTAAAATTATTGCTCATTCTGAAATTTAGTGAACATATTGATAATATTAGTGAACATATTGATAATATACAGTGCAGAAATTATTATGAAACACGAATTAGGCATGTCATCATCGACTGCCTCTACAATTAGCTGTTTGATATGTAAACAAAGCAGCCGGAAATACGACATACACACCTCAAAGTAAATTAAAATACAGTATTCTATTGTTTTTTATTTATTATTATACAGTACTGTATATTGTACAGTACAGTACTGTATTTAGTTTATATACAGTACTTTATATGTATACTTTTTCTGTGAGTTGGAACCAATTACCCAATATCCCATTGAAATAATAGATTCGATTAACGAAATTTTCGGTTAACAACTGACTCTGTGGAACCAATTGTGTTCTTTGATTGAGGGACCACTGTACAGTTAAGCCTTGAATAACAACGTTAATGTGTCCTCCAATATTGCAGTGTGAGGTGAATCGTCTTATTGCGAATCATTAATTACCATTAAAATAAAGCAATAATAATGAGATATGTTCCCAAGTGTGACCTTTTCATATCTTTTGTGTGACTTTTTACCCTCCTCTCCCCCCAAAACAATACAATTAATGAAAAGTGCAAACAATATATTTAAATAATGTTTCTGAATGCACTTTATACAGTACATATAAATGAATAATAATATGGTCACACAAGAGGAGATGGGACGCCATTGTTTTCGTTTGTGTTTACAGCCGGGAGTCGGGGACGATAGTTCTACACGAGAAAATGAAGAAAATGAGTCCCTGGTTTTAGCTGTAGTAAATTTAATGTAAAAAAATTAATATACGGGGTATATGTTTTAAGTAACATTATTTAATGTTAATAAATGAAACAATTGAAGTAGCTAACCACTAATGGCAAAGAAAAAAAAGGATGGATTGGGGATGCCAAAAAATTTTATACATCTTTTTAGTCATTTTAACACTTATTTAACATAATTGTATTACAGGAAACTAGTTTTTGGTGCGCCTCTCAGCCACTTGACTCGCCCACAAAGGCGTCAGTTTGTATCTCTGGTCAGTAGAGGTAACATCTTGCTTGTGGCTCTCTTGAACATAAACTATTTTTACGGTTTTTACAGTACAATTATTGGTCATTCTGAAATTTATTTTACATATTGACAATATATAGTGCAGTGCAATGTTGATTTAAAGAAAATATTCTTGAATTACACCTAGTGAACTTAAAATTTTATGGGTGAAATGACTGCATGAAGCATGGGGTGATTTCTCTTCCACCCCCACTTTTTTCTCTTCTCCATTCTCCACCCCCACTTCTAATTCCCATCATCATCATCAACTAGGAGCCTTCTACATACTCACCTCAAAGTAAGTGTACTTTACTGCATTTATTTTTACTTTGTATGTAATTTTTGGTGAGCTGGAACCAATTACCCAAAATCCCATTGAAACAATGGTTTCGGTTAACGAAATTTTCGGTTAACGAATGACCTTCTGGAACGAATTGTGTTCGTTAACCGAGGGACCACTGTATATGTAGAAGACTTGCCCATTCGGTATGCAAATTTTCGCATGCAACTTGCACTAGACAAGGTTTCTCGTTGGACCACAAGGTATGGTTTCAGATTTTCTCCCGTGAAGACCATTGCCATGAATTTATACCACCTCAGGGGTGGGGTGTTCAACCAGATCGCGATCTACAGCTCTATGGTTGCCGTGTGCAGTGTGCCACAGATCTGTTTCCTGGGCTTAATCTTCGACAACCGGCATATGTGGTATCCACATATTCATTACCTCAAACAGTCCTGCCAGCATGCTCTCAAGTGATTGAGAGTCACGGGGCACATGTCATGGGGTGCTGACTGATGATTTCTGCTACGCCTTTACCACATGCTAGTTTAACCCAAACTGGATTATGGATGTGAGGTGTACTCCTTAGCCACTGAGGCTAGAATCAATACACTGAACATTATTCATCATGCTGGGGTGCTCCTGGAGACCGTTACCACCCCTTAATCTTCGACGCCAGTCTCTCTTCAGGTCCAGTGTTGGTTTTAAATCCACCACCTTCCGCAGTCTGTATCCAACACTTGTGTACAGTAGTTGATGAGACTATGTCCCCACACAACACTCCACATCCAAGCCTCCCATGACCTTTTGTCTTCAGGGTAAGTGAGGTTGTGAGTTTTCTTTGTCTTCCTCCTGTTCAGATATGCCCCATGCTGTTCCCTAGTACAACACAAGGTTTCTTACATTTTAATTCTTCTTTCTTTTTTCCAGAATAGATAAATGTGGTTATAACAAATCTTTGCTAAGTAAAGAAGTTGATGAATTGGAGTCATGCCTCACCGGTCTAGGGTGCCCCGTGGTCTTCAGTCATAATGACATCCTCCTTGGTAATGTCATTTGGAACCAAGAAACTCAGAAAGTGGGTTTCATAGACTATGAATATGGAGGGGCTAATTTTCAGCCATTTGATGTTGCCAACCACTTCAACGAATTTGCTGGTACGTAAGTTAATTATTGTGTTGTTCGTTTATTGTTGATGGTGAGTCATTTATTTAAGGAATAAGGATTAGAATTCATTACAGGTACTGTACTGTACTGTACTGGACTGTACTGTACTGTACTGTACTGTATTCTATTTCCTTAAAGCTCAGCCTCTTGACCAAGGAATAATTGGTTTTCAAGTCATAATACCTCAGCTGCAGTTTTTCCAAGATCCACAAGGCACTGGAAGAAGATACCCAGGAGGGGGTGGAGATGTGGAAAAATTACTCCATTGCTGACTGCATAGCAAATGTTAAACTGAGTCATGATGAAATCACTAGCAAGTGTGTGAACTCCTGTTGGAAGGCTCTATGGCCTGAAGCAGTGAATGATTTCACTGGCTTCCCCTCAGTGGAGCCCCTGATCACATGCATGGTGCAAGTGGGGAGGATTTAGTGACATGCAACCAGAGGAAATCAGAGGAGAGCTGCTTGGAAACACTGGAGAAAAGCTAAAGAATAAAGAACTGGTTTCTTTACTAAAAGAAGATGAACAAGATGATTAGGAATGAGATCTTGGTCCAGTTGATTTAGACTCTAAATTTTAGAGGAAAACATCTGGATATTAGTTTTTTTTTTTCAATCCAGAATGCAACGCCTAGTTTATACCAAAGTATGTTACTGCCTAGCAATAACTCGCCAGGCCAACATACAGGCAATTAAAACATCTAATAATTACTTAATAAGTAATATTAGGAGGACATGTCGCTACCTGGCATTTAATTGCAATTCTCAAATCCCCCTCCTTCACCCCCCATCATACGCACTGCCACCGTCATCTTCTTGCCTGGCGAATCAGCTGTAAATACACACAAAGAAGGCTCCATGAATTTGTGTTGTAATAGCTGAAATACTAAGTGCCACGAGGATTTTATATACGGTATTTTTACTGTACATCTTAGCACAGTGAGGAAATAGAGTGACTTTTATTTTCTTTGTCTCTCAATTAATGTGTTTGGGACAATTTCTTATACGATCTCTGGTCGGCATCATGGCGACCACAGTGCATCTTCTCTGAAGTCGCTAGATCATTTGTGACAAGTATCCCCTGCTTTCAAGTCACTCAGTGAATGTCGTTGCACCCTCCCGGGCTCGTCTTTTATTTGGATGATAGGCGATAAAAAAAATCTCATATGACTGTCAGTCATCATCTGCGACTCTGCATGCATATGTGTGTGTTGTGGTTGAGCCTTTTATCAAAAGATGGCAGTGTAATCCAGGGCATGCAAACACTTGGAACATAGTCAGTTTAACGGGAAAAATTTTTTACGCCATAGACTAGACGATTTTCATGGTGTAGTACGATAAATTTAACCCTTGGGCCCTGGGTGATGTTCCAGAACGTCCGACCAGCGCGCCCCGGGTGATGTTCCAGAACGCACGCCTATTTCCTGCCACTATTTAAATGCCCAGCGCGGGTTATCAGGTTCCAGTGTGACTATTTACCTGTCACACCACATGCTCAGCCACAGGGAAGCTTCCTGAATGCACTTACCTACTTTTGTTTGTTTAATTTTCATTGTTTGTCTATTTTATCATGTTGTATCAAAGTAATATTGCTAAAAGCAATGTACTGTAGTTGTATTGTAGGGTAGTATTACTGTAAAAACACAAAGGCAAGCTAAAAATAGCTGCTAAGTGCAGAGGGACCACGAGCGTCGGCTGTCAAACCAACACTGTCTCCTTATCTCCCGCCCTCCTCCCTCCCTCTGCGCAGCCAGGGAAGTTTCTTGAGGGTCAATTTATAGTTTTTATTACTTATTTTTTATTGTTTTATCATTTTAAAGGGTTTAAAATTATTTTGGGAAAAGTTGATTTTTCTCGATTTACCCCAGGGGGGAAGGGGGTGTGGGTGCTGCCACCAGAACACTAACCCGGGGCTTAAAGGTAAAAATCAACTACAGTTGTTAATGCAGTGAATGAGTTAAATTGGCTAAAGGTCATTTTTTTCATCTTCCAATTACTGTACAGTGTATTAATACAGTAAGAGCCTTTTACTGTCTCGCCATTTAGTAATATACCGTATATGTTATCTCTCTTTTATCTTTTATTATTATGAAGGAAAAAGCACTTAAAGTAAAGTGTTCAGAAAAATAATTAATAAACTTTCCTTCCCAAGGTGTGGATGTAGTGGACTACAATCGGTATCCAAGTGCAGAGTTTCAACGACAGTGGCTGCGAAGTTATCTGTCACACTACCAGGATATACCTGAAGAAGAAGTAAAAGAACATGATGTGGAACTTTGGTATGTGTGGGTCAACAAGTTTGCTCTTGCCTCACATTTGTTTTGGGGTTCCTGGGCAATGGTTCAAGCAAACTATTCCTCCATTGACTTTGATTTCCTTGGGTAAGTAAGAGGTGTTGAAATTTCAGTGTTGTGGGATTGGGATTGTTATACCTTGGTACCTACCTTCTTACCCACCTCTATTTTGTTTTCAATTTTTGAAGAAAGAAAGCCATTTTTTGTTCAATCCAGAATGCGACATCTAGCTTTATACCTAGGTATGTTAATGCGTAGCAATTACTCGCCAGGCCAACATACAGGCAATTAAAACATCTAATAATTACTTAATATGTAATATTAGGAGGACACGTCGCTACCTGGCATTTAACTGCAATTCTCAAAACCCCCTCCTTCACCCTCCATCACACACATTGCTACCTTCATCTTCTTGCCTGGCGAATCAGCTGTAAATATGCACAAAGAAGGCTCCGCTAATTTGTGTTGTAATAGCTGAAATACTAAGTACCACGAGGATTTTATATATATTTATAAAATAATTTACGATTTTTCTTTAAACTCTCTACTATGAATCCTTCAAAGTTTCTTTTGACTCTTTTAATATCTTTTGCTGCTTGATTTCTGTTTTTAATATATTCCGTAAAACTATGATTAATCTTATTTGCCAAGTCCCTTTTCCAGGCACATACCTTGTTTTTAACTGCTTTGTCAGCCACTTTGTTTCACCACATTGGTTTGTTCTTATCATAATTCAAACACTCTTTCGGAATGTATCGATTTGTAATATTCAATATACTATTACTGAGAATATTCCACTTTTCATCGTTAAGGTTTATATTTGTCATACATTTCAGTTCAATTATGAGTCCCGAAAGCATTCCTGAGCTCTTGAAATCGAACCATCTTTTAAGTCACAACTAAATCCTGGGGTGGTTTCTGTATGTTTAACTCTCACAACATATTCCCATGTCAGCACAGCATGGTTACTTGGACCTAGTGGCTCCTAATACTCAGTATTCAATACTTCAGCATTTACATCCACAATAAGAAAATCTATTAAACTGGGTTCATTTTCACCTCTTTTCCTTGTTGGAGCATCAATGATTTGTTTCAATAGTAAGTCCCTTAACAGATCCAAAAATATACTTGAAAAAGAGTTTTCTCTATCATTAACACAATTGAGTGTTCTAGTTAATTTTGGGTAAATTAAAATCTCCACATAATGTTAAGTTTCCTCGTGCAAGATTAGATGCTCTGCTTATCGTTTGTACTAGTTTATCGTTCATTTCTGCTCCTCGACTATCCTTTCTGTAAATAACTCCAACCAGAATTTTCACATCTTCACATTTGATTTGTGCTGAATCAAATGTGAGGATGTAAAAATTCTGGTTGGAGTTATTTACAGAAAGGATAATGTATCCTTCACTCTTGTTTTTTAGTTCCTCACATTCTTCTAGTAATAGCTTCTCTTTAAAATATATGACTACTCCACTTCTTATTTCCTGAGCATATATATATATATATCTTGGAATTATATAATTCAGTGGTGATTCACAGTCCTACACATTTGTAACTCCTCCTTCGCTAGTGGTGTTTTTCCCGGTAAACTCATAAATGTCTCTTCAAGAATTACCGCCCCATATCAATCCTCTCAGATAGTGGAGAAGCTAGCATGTAGTAAACTAAATTCCTTCTGCAGTGACAATAACATCCTTACAGACTCTCAGTTTGGATTTAAAGCAAAAAAGATCAACTGAGAGTGCCATGCTGTCCTTTACTAATGACAGCTTGAACTCCTTTGTTGATAGCCAGTTCAAAGTCAGAATATTCCTGGACCTCTCTAAAGCCTTTGATACTGTCGACCATACCATCCTCCTGTCGAAGCTTGAGCATTACGGCATTAGGGGCTTATCCCACAATTGGTTTACCTCGTATCTGTCTAATAGGAAGCAGTATGTCTGCTGTAACAATCATCAGTCTGACTCCTCACCTATTTATTATGGTGTCCCTCAAGGCTCCATTCTCGGCCCAGTACTATTCTTGTTGTGCATGAATGATATTGTCCACTCCAGCTCACTTATTTGCAGAAAATAGTACTGCATTCTTTATGCCAGTGACTCAGATCTCCATTCCTTGATGAGAACTATGAACAATGAATTGACTAAAGTCAGGAACTGGGTTATGTGTAATAAACTGTCCTTAATCCTTGAAAATACCCACTACACAATCTTTCACAGAAGGAAAACTTACCTCTAGATTTGGACCCTCCGTATTGGTAATACGGTCCTCAAACGGAAACAAAATACTAAATTCCTTGGGCTTGTTGTTGATGATAAACTAAATTGGAGAAGCCACATACAAGCCATTCACAGTAAATTCAACAAGCAGTGCGGTATCCTGTATCATTCTTGCCAGTCACTCACTCTTGCAGTAATGAAAGAAATTTATTATGACCTTGTTTACCAACACTTGATTCACTGTCACACACTATGGGGCCTCCAGTACCTCTAAGACACAACCTCTGGTCACTACCCAGAAAAGAGTTGTGCGGACAATGACCTACTTGAAAAAATGGATCACAGTAATGAACAATTTGCGAAGTTAAAAATGTAAAAAATTGAAAATATAAACTCTTACTGCTGTGCTCTACAGTAGAATCTCAATAAATTGGGATAATAGGGGCAAACCCCAGTCCCCCAAAAGTGAATCTAGGGTGGGAGGGTGGAGATAGCACTGCCTACCTGAACTGTTTAAAGAAAATCAGTTATGTTGTTACTTCACTTCAACAACTAAGGTCTTTAAGTGTATAATAAGGTTATTAAAATACTATTACATCAACAATAAAAACAATATGAAACGACTCTTTTTGTTGAAACCAACTGTTTTCTCCGAGATTATTGTTATTTACTGTAAAGTTTTATATGAGAGTAACCACAGAATTTGTCATAAATAAAGAGAAAACTGTAAACTATACAGTACTATAAAGATAAAAATAAGAACAAATGAGTGTAGGAGTATATTGTATGTGGAAGACGAGTGTTTATCTGGGAGCAGCTGGCAGAGGGGTGGTAGTGTGGGTGGGTGTCTCCCTCCCCCAAGATTCCTTTAACCACACTTATCTTATCATTTAGGTTCATTTGGTGCCAGGTTGATAAAATATTATCCTAAATGAATCAACTTTCCTGAAAAGGGAATCCCACACTTAACACTATGAATCGTTTGTTTATAAAAGGCAAACAGCATTTTACCCTCACTTAAGTAATATTGTAGTGTATAGCTCAGGCTCTCAATTAGTTCAGCCATGTTAATATTGTTATTATTGTCCACTGTATCTGTATTTTTCTGGTTAAATGAACTTTATCAGTATCAATCATGAATGTCAAAGGATTTCCAGGATCTCCCTTCGGTATTTCTGGCCATTTTCTGAAATCTCACCCCCCTCACAGTCTTTCAATGCAGGAACGTATCTGCCAGTCTACGAGGCTAGTGGGAGGAACTTAGTGGTTGATAGTGCTGGTCCACTGTTCCAGCATTTCTGCTTATGGGAAGGGTGCTCTCAGTGTGAGATATGGCTGGACGGGAGGGGTCAGGCCAGCACAGGAGCGTTTAGCAGTGCAATCTGCGTCAAAAGACAGAAAATGCATTTCAGGGTCAATCCTCCATTTTCTATAAGTAGGTATGATAAGAAATTGTTTGCTCTTTCCTTTTTATCAGGTATTGTACTGTAAATATGTTTGTTCCTCTCATTTGTAATGATAAACATTATAATTTATTTTTTTCTTGGCAGATATGGTATAACTAGAGTTGATGAATATTTCAAGAGAAAGAATGAATTCCTGAGCCTCACACCCAACCTATAGTAGTTGCAGCCACTGGCAGCCAAACCCTTCAAGATAATCAAGCAATAGATAAGAGAATATGCATTATTTTAACAATCAATGCCTGTATCTAATGGTGCTATTATGATAATAACTGTCATTTTTATTATGATGCTTACTATTGTGTGAGTACGAATGACTTGAATTGGTTCCAGTAAGAGGCAAGCAATAGATTTTATGTAAATGATGATTGGCTTCTCATAGGTTAACGTTATTTTAAGTTATGAGCACTGTATCCACATACAGTACATGAAATCACATGATATAAAACACATCTTTTCCATGTTTTTGAAAGTATCTGGAGTAGTAAACACAAGCACAATGAGTCATCAGCTTTATCAAATTACTGGTTGTAGAGCCACCTTCACTAGATAAAGTTCTGATAAAAAATGGGACAACTGTACTCATGTGTCTGTTGCAATAACAGCATATTTAGTCATATGGGAAGAGGCAATACGTTGGCAATAATAGTAGTGTTCACTTCTTTAAGCCAGACATTTTTTATTTCAGGTTTTATGGAATTTTACTTGTCAAAGTTTATTGTCGAGGATTGCAATTAAAAAAATGTGGTGAATCTATAAAATTTGCAAATGTAATGATTTAAATTTGAAATCCATTTTATTGCAGGTGTTATATGATATTTTGCCAGTACAGTAAACCCTCAAAGATCCCAACCCGGTAAATCCAAATTTCGGAAGATTTTGGGCAAAAAATTTGGGGCTCTGGGTTAAGAGGCCTCCTGAAGAAGCATTTCCAAAACAGGGTGAAGGTAGTTTTAGGCTTAAAGTTTTTTCTTTTAAAATATGACAGACTAAACTTAGCAGAATATAACTTGCATTGCTGGAATCCTTGTAAGATAGCAAATAATTTGAGTATAAACATCACATAGTTTGCACAAGAGATCAAAATTTCAGTCCTTCAGTGTAGTACATTTAAGTACAAGTTTTTCAACTCGTATTTTTCGGTAAGTATATGTAACTTCTTCATTTACATGCACACACCATCCTAAATACATATTGTGAAAAAGGTAAAAGAAATAATTGTCCTTAGGGCAAACTTGTACTGTACTCAAATGTACTAAATAATTACTAAAATTGTTGTCTAGTGCAAACTGTAGTATGTTTCTATTCAAATTAATCAATGTCTTTCAAGAATTACAGCAATGCAAGTTATATTCTGCCAAGTCAATTCAGTGACATTTTATAAGCGAAAACTTCAACTCCCTCTATGACTGATAACTACTCACTTTGTTATCTCCCCTCTGGCTGGTCAATACCTCACCTCACCCCCCCTGCCTGGCTGTCAACACCTCAACTCCTCCCAGCCAGGGTGAAGGTAGTTTTAGGCTTGGTAAGTTTTTATCTTATAAAATGTCACAGACTTAACGTAGCAGAATATAACTTGCATTGCTGGAATCCTTGTAAGGTAATAAATAATTTGAGTACAAACATCACATAGTTTGCAAAAGAGATAAAAAAATTCATTTAGTGAAGTACAGTACATTTGAGTACAAATGAGTACAGTAATATGTTGCTCAAAATTATGGCTTTTTCACAGGAAAAAGTTTGTATAACTAACCCCAGTAATCAGGATAATATGAACTGTATTTTTGGTGTTTTTTATCATTATTTATCATTTTTATACATTTAGTACATTGGCCGGAAGATTCGGACAATCGGCTTTTTCGGACAGGTGGCCCCATTTTAGTCCGGATCTTCAAGAGTCCACTGTACAGTGTAAGACAAGTACCAAGTAACACAAAAATAATAATTTCTGGTTTGAAATGTATACAGATTAAAATATTAATTTCATTAAGGTACATGTAGATATCAATAAACATTTGTTATAATGATAATTAAAACCATTACAAAGAATGTTTCATTGTAAGAACAGAATGATAATTTATCTTGGCAAAAATTTTTAAATTTAAATTTTATCAAATGTAGAAGTTTTCATATGATTTTTTATAATATAAAACATTTTAATGTAGTGATTAGAACACTAAAACATATAAATTTAATTAAAGTACATGTATATATTAAATAAGCATTTGTTATAATGATAACTATAAAAACATGAGAAAAACATTTCAATATAGTACAGGCATCTCCCGCGTTACGGATCCCCGGGTTGCGGAATTTCGCTCTTACGGAATTTGTAAATTATGACCAATAATTTTGCGATACGACCTGTAAATCCGCCCTTACAGAAATTTGGGTAAATTTTAACAATTAAAAAAAAAAATCACTATATAAAATTTAAAATAAAATTTAAAATTATAATTTGTTTGGTGTGGATTTCTTGATGTTTGCTACCGCCAAGTGTGGAGTCACCACGCGGAGTCACTCCATTGTTTACATCCAGTGTGTGTGCATGTTTCTCGCCCCAGCAGTTGGATTTAACTTTTACAAACATACAGTAAGTACAGTACAGTGCATTACCCTTCTTGAAGATGACTGGAAAGAGGCCATCAAGTGGAAGTGACCGCAGTAGTGCAAAAAGAAGCCACAAAGGCATTACATTGGATATTAAACTTGATGTGTTACAAGGGGCAGAAGAGAGTAGTGCCCCTCCCAATAACTCCCTTTGCGCCACCTATCCTCACGCAGCAGTCAACATCTATTATGGTGAGTACAGTACAATATTTTTATTTATTCCAACTGTATTTCTCTTCATATTACATGTATATCATAAATTATTTAATGTTCTGTATTGTATGTGTTTATAAATGTTTATTTTCATTCATAAAAGTGCTTGAATTACTTTTTTGGGGCCGAAAAAAATTCCTTAGGAACGCATCTCCAGTTTTGTAATGGAAGTCAATGGGAAAATAGGTTTCGCGTTACGGGATTTCGCGATACGGTCAATTTTCCAGGGACGCAACCCTTCAGTAACGCGGGGGATGCCTGTATATGAAACGTTGTACCCTCTTTAATTCAGATCGTTATGATTCTGATTTCACATTAATTCAATTTTTTTTTTTAATTGAACAATTTGAATTTTGAATGAATCTGAAATAACCAAGCAGTTCCAAAAGGTCAATTATTGTCATAGGAATATATTATGAAATAGATTAAGATGAATGAATTAAAGGAATATAATTTGAATTATATTAACATTCTGTACAAAACTATGTTTGGGTGCGGAGCTCAGGGGAGGAGGTGGCGATCCCTTTATAATGACAGTATGCAGTTTCACCAGATTCCCAGATGATCTATTGTACCATAGTATATTCCAGGTCTTGTTTACAGAGCGGTAATAGCCGATCATTCCCTCATTCCCTAGTAATGTTACCAGCAGCCAACATCTCTCAGGCACCGTTGTTGTCGCTGCTCAAGAGGATTAGTGCTTACTACAGGATCTGTCTTGAGTACTTATTAAATAATATCGTAACATATTTATCAGAACTTTATAAATATCATTGTGTTGTGTAATACTTCTCCATATGTCCTGGTTTATTCACTGATCAGTTGTCTAAGTGCAGCCATCATGTATCAATTTATTTCAAGATAAAAATTATAAACTAAAAATGTTATAAGCCAATGGTTTAGTAGTGCTGCTAATTGTATGCTGTGTAAGTGTCATGTCACTTCGCTGCACTTTCTGCCTCATCACCTTATCTCTTATCTTGTCACCCCATCTCTTGCCTCGTCACCTCGTCTCTTGCCTCGTCACCTCGTCTCTTGCCTCGTCACCTCATCTCTTGCCTCGTCACCTCATCTCTTGCCTCGTCACCTCATCTCTTGCCTCGTCACCTCAACTCTCACCTCGTAGTGCTATATTTATTTATTACTGTTTTATTTACTTTATTATTACTGTTGGGTATGAACATTTAAAAAAATATTTGTTTGCACAGTAAATATAAATAGATTATTATATGTGGTGTGGCAGCCAAGGCAAGGTGCAAAAACTGAACAGAAAACCAACAAATAGTCAAACACAAAAATTCGGAAATTGTTGAATAATGTCAAAATATTTTTTAACTTAGTTAAATCAGATTTTTTGGTAAGGCGAGTGACCCAGAGCCTTTTTTTTATTAACAAGCGTATAGTGTTTAAGAACAGAATAATTTATTTTGAGAAAATTTAAAAAATCTAAAACTTCATTAAATCCAGTTTCAATATGATTCCTTATAAAATATGTTTTACATAAAATTAAAAAAATCTTTGGTGATCATTCTTAAAAAGTTTCTCTACAACCACAGCTGGGCACTTAAACCGGGCTCTCCTAAGTAAATATATAATACTGTACTACAGTATTTAAATATTAATTTACCTACTATGCAAGTTTTTGTTAGAATACATACCAAAATAAAAATGTATTTATATTTTATATCTTTAATATTTGTCGGCAGGGCCTGTAAAATAAAAAATGTCTGCCCCCCCATTTATCAGCTTACTAGCCATTCAGGCGGTTGGTCTACCCAGTGTTAGTGCAGGAAACAACCAGACTCCAGGAAACCTGTGATGTTTGGCAGGGTCACATTGGATAACACCCTTCTCACATGTGTCAGGGCCAAGCAGGATTTGAACCCTTGTCGTATTGGTGAGAGATACGCACGTTACCACCAGCACTCCTTAATCATCTGTGGTGATAACATTTTTGTAACCTTGCTAACTTTAGAAGATAAAAGATAATTAAGTTAACTGTTTATTGTTGTGTCTCTGATTCTTTGTGGAAGTACAGTACTCTTTTAAATTATTTAAACACAGCTCGCAATGGACCCATCTCTCTGGAGCATTGCCTAAATATTTCCTCATCTGTTTTTGATAATTAATTCTTAAAAATATGGTACTTAACTTGCTGTTAATATTATTTTTCAATTAATTTGTACTTAGTTGGTAATAAATGTGCAGCTGCATACAATTACATTCCAGTAATATTTAAGGTATACTGTATGTGTTTACAAACATTTTGTACTCTTGGAAAATTACAGTGTTGGGTTGTTAAGGTATTCTGCAATATAAGATGTGTAGTGTACTCTATCTATTTTATGTCTAAAGAGGTTGTGGTTTAGGTGTAGTAAATGAAACATGTACAGTGATATCTCCGTTAGCCGGAACAATTGGTGCAGAGCACTTCCAGGAATGAGAAATTTCCGAGTAACGAAATGACTCTCAAAGCCGGAAAAAAATCCCTCATTCCTGGAATTTTTCAGGTAACGGAAAAACATTCTCGGACGTTCCAGAAATTGTGCATTACATCATCTCTCGAACTCCCAAAAATATCCCCCATCCCCGGAATTTTCCGGGTACTGGGAAAATTTTCTCAGGGTTTTCCAGAAAATGTGCCCCTCAGAAAATCGTTCCCAAAACTAGGATATTCTGGAAAATTTTGGCTTTGGGAGCAATTTTCTGAGAAAATTTCAACTCTGGCTATCGGAGAGTTCCAGTTAAGAGGAATTCCAGCTAACAGAGATATTACTTTATCAAGAAGTTAATGATAGCACTTAGTTCTATTTACAGTGATCTCCCCCTCAGCCGGAACTGTTGGTGCTGAGCTCTTCTGGGATGAGAGATTTCTGGGTACTGTACCGGTATTTGCCAAACGCAGTGCGCAAGCCTACGGCCCAAGTTACCCATGCAACTGGCATGTGGTGATGCCATGGAGAATGATGCAATTTTTTGGGTATTCCTGGAACATTTGTTCACAGACCCAGAATTAGGATAATTTTTCTGGAAAAATTCCGGGTCGATTTCAATTCCGGCTATTGGAGACTTCCGGGGACTGGGGATTCAGGCTATTGAAGAGTTCCGGGAACTAGGGATTCCGGCTAACAGGGAGATTACTGGTTCTGTGTTCAGTACTTTCTAATAAGTGTAGCCTTTTTTAAATGATTATTAAATATAAATAACTTTTGGTGAAGGTTCTCATAGGTGGATGGGATAATATATGAATATACATTTAAATATTATATAGTTGCCATCATTATCCATTGTATCTGATCAAGATTTTAATACAGTATGTATTGTTTTTTTTTTAAATGTATCTATATGCTTTTTGAATTTTCAGAATTTAATCCCTTCAATACAGGTAGGCCACTTTTAATGTTTGATTTGGCTAACACCAGACAAATTTATTTAGCAGAGAGACCCCATGTACAGAAGTGATTAATGCCAATAATTACAAAGTAAGCACAAGTACCCTATTTTATATATACAGTACAAGTATCCCCACATGAGAGCGGGCCACACCTGACCATCCCAAGGGCCACATTTGGCCCACGGGCCAAGAGTTTGACATCCCTGTTCTAGATGAATACAGTCTGCTGAGGAAGGAACGGAGAAACTTCACGCGTGTAAGTGAAGTGATCTCTGTAGCCTGACAATGAGGGGATCAAAGAGGCAGACGTTCCCCAACATCAGTGGATGCGGACACTAGCCGAGTAGCTCTGAGCCGATGCGGGGGAGGTACCTTCTCCTGATGAAGGCCTGGGCCGTGTAGGGGGTAGAGAGGTTGCTGAGACCAACTCCTGGTCTGAGACGGAGTAGTCAGGCAGCGCCTGTGAGAAACCAGTCCTCCTTGGCTCGGAACCGGACTCCGAGAACACTAATGAGTCCAGGGAGGGGGAACGAGGGCAGGATCTCCGTGCCACAGAAACTACTCCACTCTGGAGGGCAAGGCACTAGCCATTGCTATGCAGCATTCAGTTACTGTTGCCTCATAGTCAATATCCGTGGCTCTTGTTGGCTTCGGGGCCAAAGATCTCGTTCCCCTGAGGCAAAGCAATGCAGAACCTAAGCAGAGAGAAGGAAGTCGACATCTCAACCAGGCTACAACATAACTTCTGGGCTATTGTTTCTGTTCAGATAACACCTCGGGCCAGTCTTGCATAGTAGCATCTGACTCGTAATCCCATCCTGCCAGAGGTTGTGAACACCAGAGGAGTGAAGCTGCCTTAATCCACATTTTGAATTCTCTCCCCATACATCCAGTTCTCTTCATTCTCGTTTCTCTAATGAGCAGCATCGAGTGCTAGGTTACGGTGGGGTCGAAAATCCTTATGTCAAGGAAATCTTGGTGGCCTGTGTCCAGATTCCTCGAGCACTTATGTCCACACAGGCTTTGTTGGTTGTGTTTGAGGTCCTGTGAAGGAGAATTTCACCTTCCAATGGAAGGAGGATCGGTTCCACCTTGACGTCATGGCAGATTTCCTTCAACATTTTTGCTGTGAGATCCCTTACTTCGTCATGCCTCATGCACACGAAGCCCCCTTTCTTGCACACTGCGGTGCGGTCGATGTTGTAGGATGAGCCACATATGCATTGGGTGGGCAAATCTTCTATGGTCCAACCGTACTTTAGAGCAAAGGCATCTGTGAATTGTTTAATAAGGCTGAAGTCATTTGCCCTTATCAGTAACGTTGTTAGCCAGTTTGAGCCACTCTCCTCCTGCGTGATAGCTACTTTTTTTAAGTTCTCTGACAATTGAAGCATCAGTTTATCACTTTAGGTTTGCTTCCATTCTGTCGTTATGGACTGTCGAATCTTGTTTAATTTGTTGGTATCCACCTGATTTGCTGCATTCTGACCTATTATGCGCTCAGTGAGGGCCGCCGTGAGCTTGACAAGAGTTCTGATGTTCGGTGGCAGAAAGCTCCTCAGGATTAGGCAATGACCTTTCTGCTTGGGTCAAATATTAGCTTTTCACGGGCTTTGGGATAAAAGCGCCCTTGATGGCTTCTTGCAGAGGGTGGAGGAGAGGCCCGATATCGGGGATAGTGCGCATTGGGTAATTCCAAAGATGCTTGACTCCCTGGGTGACTGCTGCAAACACTGCATGTGGCTCAGTTTAGCAATATCTGACAGAGCCTGGATTTTTTTCTCCCACTCATTTACCTTTCCCGTTACATACTCGGTCTTGAAATCATTCGTGTCGATTACCACACCTAGATATCTTTGGCTGTCCTTTATTATTTTGACCTCACTTCCGTCAAACACCTCTATTGCCCAATCATGTTATTCTGACTTCATTATGAGGAAGGACTTGCTGATATTTGGGTGGTATCCTATTTGTGGACCACGTGATGTTACCAGGTCCCACCACTTTTTGATGTCCTCCACTTTTCCTGTTCCTGTAGGGTCATCAGCATAAGTCACTTGCTTGACCTCGGTTGTTTAAAATTTTATTGTATGTTGGAGCATGGATAGGCCTAGTGCATACATTGCCATGGCAACAGGGTACCCCTGCATTGTTCCTTCAGTTGACTGTATGATGGTATCTCCACTTAGGGCTTTGAAGCTTGTTATATAGAGGTCTGTCCAGTTCCTGTAAGTGTTTTCAACATACATTGCAAAGCTTGGACACTTGATCTTTATGTTGTGCAGTGTAGCCTTGCAATATATTATTTTAATGCGTTGGAAGCGTCAACCAGGAGTACTGCCTCACAATCATGCTGCTCAAATACCTTTCTCATGATGTGAATGGCAGCTTCACCCCCAGCCTGGTGGCCAGCACATACTTGCAGGTTCCTTGCAGCTGCCCTGACATCATCATTTACCACCTCCATTATGCATTTTCCAATGATCTTTCTCAGCGATTCCCCCACTCCTATAGGCGTATATCCTGGATTTTTTTCCAAAGTAATGAGGCGGCAGGCCATCAGAGCATGAAGGTGGTGGCAGCACGAGGTTGCTACCTTTCTTGCAAGGGCGGCGGTGGCATTGCAGAGATCACTTGCTACGTCACCAAACTTGTTAGTGCTGAGGATGATTCTCCAACCGTCTGCATCCGGACCTGAAGGGCCTGCCCCTCCCTGTGTCTTCAGTGCTTTTTTTCCCACACCATCCCTCCTGTTATTTTCTCGAACATGACAGCATTTGGAGGGATATAGGCACCCTGGAACCTGATGCCTCCCTCTTTCAGTTGTTGTAATTTATTGGCAAAGCACCACCAGAAGATTCCTCTGTGAAAGATCTTACCGCCGAGGACACTTTTCCTCCACGCATCTTGTTACCAAACTTTCTGGCAGCATCCTCAGTGTTTTTTTGCTTTGTCTCCTATGAATTTTAGACTCTCCTGCAGTGTTCTTGCCTCGCATAGGAGATCATCAGGAGCCGCTTTCTGCCACATTGTCAGTCTTCTATACATTTCTGCCACATTTTCTTTGCACTTAGTCCTTGCATGTGTCCTCTAACTAAATAGATGGGGGTATCGTTGCCAGTATTTGAAGAGCTAATGGGGCCAGGGAGGTGTCATGAGTGTAATTAATTATGAGGCGAGTCATCTCCTGGATCATTTCTTTGGTGGCTGCAAACTTGGGTGGTTCGAAGAGGTTAGCTGGCAACCACCTGACCACATCTGAGTAGGCTTCTTTGACCCACTTCTCTGCATCTTCCCCCAACATGCATTTCCAATTTGTTGACTGTATGTCATTCATCTCCTGAACAGTATTATTTTTTTGACAGCTGATCCCTTTCCTACAACCCACACATCGTGTGTTACTTCTTACATAAATACAGGTTGTGCATTTCTGATTCCGACCTGAGCACTGACAAACACATTTCCCAGCAATGATGTTCACCTGGGCAAGTACTCTAGTCGCTGTGTGTAGAATTGTTTTCTTTACTCGGTGAGCATACCTTGTATATCTTTATACCTTAGCAAGAACAATTGGTGAAAAAGTGGTGTCACTGCCAATTCCTTTACCAACTTGTAAATACTGTAATGTTCTTTACATATAGCACTACTAGATTAATAGCCTGTTAAAAAAAATCTACAATAAAGTGTATTGTTTAACTGCAATATTTGTTTTCATAGTAAATTGTGTAAAACTGGTGTAAAATTTTAGCCACCACCATCGCTCTTTTACTGCAAAATAATCAATGTGTTGCTTTGAGAAATTATCCTTAGATACCTAAAGTAGAATGTCAGTAATCTACTGTATGCTGTAAATTGTTTTTACTTAATAATCTGGTGTTATTGCATCAATATCATGTAAGGCACAATGGGTTTAATGTGTTTCATATGTTGTGACGGCTTGGCAATACCAAGGTATAAAAGGGTAATGCCACCTTTGTGGGAGAAGCAAAAATTTAACATCCTCCAATAATGCCAGAATCCTTGGTTACCGGTAAGTTATTTCTCTTTGTTCGATCGTCACCTGTGAGTATTTGTGTTGCTTACTTATGAACATTCAGGTACAGTATATGTAAAGTACGTCTGTTCATATACATACATGCATGTGTTATGGTAGGTTTAATATTTAGAGGGTCTTATTTCAAGTTCATATGTGAAATGAAATATATCAACATCTGTTTATCTTTGTTTTTAATTGTTTCATCAGCTTTCAAATAAGACATAGGAATAAATTAATATTCTAGATAGACATTTTATATCTTTTAAAGTATCATGAGTGGCTTCATCTGACATTTAAAATATATACTTGAAAGAAATTTATATATCATGGTCTCCAATTGAAGTTAAATTTATTCTATGGTACACAATTAGCAAGTAATTCAGCAACTTCAGTGAAAACTCATCATTAGCACTAGAATTATCATTTATCTCAACTGCAGTCAAGTTACTCAGGATTTCATCCATATAACCAGGCACATGTCAAGTGACTTGCTTTTTAAAAGGATAATGAAAGTGTATATATTGTTCTTTTTTACTCACAAGTTCAGCTGGCTGATACAGAGCAGAGCGGGTACCATTACATCACAGACAAGTTCCACAAGTTGAAGAGAACACATATAGCAGACAAGCCTCAACTACTCCAGGTGGGCCCATAGCAGGTGTCATGGGGACCAGGCACTCAAGGTAGGGCCACAGTGGGTAGCACAGGGGCCAGGCACTCCAGATGGGCCCATTGTAGGTACCACAGGAGCCAGGCAATCCAGGAGAAAAAGGTGGCACAGACCCAGGCACTCTGGATGGGCCCATAGTATGTGGCACAAGAGCCAGGCACTCTGGATGAGCCCACAATTGGTGACACAAGACCAAGAACTGGATAAGTACAGTAAGTGGCACATGAGTTTGGTAATCCAAGTGGGCCTATAGTAAGTGCCGTTAGGACCTGAGCTTCTGCTGCTGGTCTGCTATTGTACAACAGTCCATAGACCAAAGGTAAAACAATGCCTTTACGAGAGAATAGAGAAAATAATGAAGTCTTTCTACACATCTGCAAGAACAAAATTGCATTGTAAAACAGTTGTACAAGGCCTAATTTTTTGTAGACCAATGAAAATAAAATATGCAGGAAACAAAGCTATCTTATGCAAGCCCTGTTCAAATGATAATCCATTTAAAAATAACAAAACTCAGCATTATTTCAGTTTTACTTTATGAGTGAAGGACAGGTGCTGCTGCAATCCTACAGTATTCTGGAGGCAGCTAATGGTGTGAACTTCCAACAGTGGTTGATGTGAAGCTCCGTGACAAGCTGAGTCCAGTAGAGATCTTACACTGCAGGCTTTGCAAGGTGAGAAAAATAATGACATCCAGATATATGTATACATGTTATGGGTACACAAACATAACTTATCTGGTGGTGTACGGAGCGACAACATGGTCTTGCACAATATAAGAAGCACCCCAGAGCACAATCAGCAGTAGGTCAATTCTATGATGAGCAACCAAAGAAAGAATTTTAAATTTTGTAATAAACTCATTTATTTGTTATGTTGTCAGTGTATACTTTTTATATAGTAATCATATAGAAACCTCAAACAAAATTAAGCAAATATACAGTATATTTTTTTTTAATTAAAAGTAAAATGGGTAATTTCTACAGGTCTGAAAGGTCAGTAGCAAGTGAAGTGACCACAAATGAATACACAATACTGTACACATTAATAACCTTTCTTTGCTTCTGGTATTTTATCCAATCTACTTATTAGAATATTCTCTAATAATATTGTGCATGGTTGGTATATAACTGATAAACAAAACAATACAAGAAGTATATAAAAACACCATAGAAATAAGATTCACTACAAAATAGAATATTCCTAACTTTGGGTTACACTTTACTGAAGAACATTACAGTACCGTACCTTACTGCTGCACCATACATGTATTACTCGATATTATTCAACAGCTCACTACTCACAACTAAGTAACAACATACACCACCACAAGATCTCAACTACAGCATCTTACTTGAGTGTTTATATGTTCTTACTTGAATCATAGCATCATAATTAAGCTCATCCTTTTTTTTTTTTTTTGAACACGAGTGAGGCAAAGTATACATGAGGAAGATTTGAGGGACCTAATCAGAGTTCACTACCTGTATATGAGAACATAATAAATTTGACTATAATTTTCAATCTTCCTTTACATGTAAATAATCTTTGTATGATACAGATACTAAATCAGTGACTCAATTAGGTGTGTAATAAGCTAGTTCAGCTGCAAGTGTTATCATTTATGCATATACCATTCATCCTATTGCTTACCAACTTGTAGTACAGTAAATTATATCTATCTTTTTTAGAATGCCTATTATAGGCTATTAATTATTTCATTCCACATACCAATTGCAAGAGTAAATTTATATTTTTACTGTACAGTATTTGTGCAGTGCTTAAGTTCAAAATACAAATAAAATAAATAAACTGTTTTCATGACAAGGCTACAACTTCATATTGCCTCATAGTTACAAGAATAAACATCACTGTTTACAAAATCCTCTAAACAAATTATATGTTCCAACCAGAGAGGTACAGTATTACAAATAACGTACATTGTCCATTATAATATCTCATAAAGCAACAGGGAAAACTGATAATCACACAAATATATTAATTGGTAATGAATAGGTTAATTTGCAAGAGGCTCCAGCAATGTGGGTTGACCAAGTACAGCATAGGCTACATCAGTGTGAAGTCTAGAATGTTTCTGTAAGATACACTGCTGGTTAAACACTTTATGATATAATACAGAATAAAAGATATGCGAGTTGGCAGTTATGTCTGCCTTGTGCAGTTAGTTTTCATACTGCATCATCATCATCTAATAGTAGAATCTACTGATTCTTGAATTTACAAGAATCTTATTGCACGCAGCATTCACTGCCAATACTTCCAAACAATCTCTCTTGCAGTCACACTTCAAGTATATATTTACACCAATATAGACACACACATTCACATGTGCACACAACATAGTGGTCACGTTAAGATCTCAACAGTACAAATACAGTACAGTAATATTAAATCTGTACTGCTACTTGTGTATTTCTCCACTCACATAATTCTTGCTTGGCTCACTATTCATATATCTATCATCTTACTTCCTTACACTAACTATGTACATCACTATCACAACAGTAGGGATAAAATTTCTACCAGCCATGGGGCTTCCACTTGAAGATGATCACAATATGGACAGAGAAACATTCTACACCACACGGCAACAAGGTGTCTTGGTGTCCATCTACTTAACTGTGTGCTTCTGTTTTATTCACTGTTCCAGAGTTTAGCACAAGTTGTCTGAAGCCAGTGCCACCCATGTCTCTTCATCAAGGGTTGGGATGCCCAATACAATGGCTCCCCACTGACCATTCATTAAAAAAGTTCATTATCTCTCAACATTTGCTTTTGGTTGGAAGAATCACGTACTGTATAGTAAAGTGAAGACTATGGGACCCATGGATGAGGAAAAAGAAATGGGAGCCAGAATATATCTAAGTCAGACTTTGTGAAGGAAAAGATTGGGGAATGATGCCCACTTTCAAACTGCATTAGTTGGGGAGGGAAGTGATGACATGGATTGCCAGTAGACTCTAGGAATAGATTTTTGACACATGCGGGGTGTGGAGACCATGCAGGCGGCGGGCTGCGGAGACCGTGTGGGCTAAATTGAGGAGTGTATGGGGTGGGGTGATGGCTGTTGGGAGGTGTGAGGTTCACGTCTCCGCTGAGGTATATCGCCGCCTTGCAGTCCGCTCTCCTGCCCCCCATCGTTGCTGTTGCTGTGTGGCAGAGTAGTGGAGTGGGGTCGATGGGGGCGTGGATCAGGAGAAGCAGCACAGCTTCCGCCAGCCACGTTTCCTGGAGGTGTCATCAGTGTAATCAAGGGTGTTGCGGGCGGTGTGGTTATTGAGAGGTTCGGAGGCCCCGTCCCGTGCACCTCCACCCAATTTCCTGTGCCTGGAAAAGGAACGCTTGGATGACCCTCCTCGGGTGAGTGTTGGGATATTGCGGGCCTCAAGGGCTGCCAGGATAGCTTGGTCGAACACCTCCTTCAGGTTACGTTGAGTGAGCGCTGATGATTCAACATATCCAACAGCCCCTATCTGGTGTGCCAGTCGACGAGCTGCTACCTCCGACACCGGCTGCTCGCGGTACTGTGCTAGATCTATGAGGACCTGGGAATAAATGACTGTTATTAGTCTTATGAATCAAGCTCCCTTGACTACTCACAATAATATGTTGTTAGTGACATTTTAGGTTTATACATTAAAAACATTAATAAAAAGTGGCATTTATATGTGATCTAAGCCTTAATGTGAAAACTTGCATATTAATTTGAAAATACTGTTTATGTTTAAAAATTCCATCTAAAAAATGCCATATACTGTATGTATCAGCACTAGGAATCAAGACAGCAATCTTGTATCCTGAATCAAACCCTCAGAATGTTACACACACGTTTCAACTACTGCACTATGTACGTACTGTATAGGAAAATCCATCATCTTCACGCATGTACGGTATAGTTATCACAAAGAACCATGGAAACCATCATGCATCAGAGACTAACTGTGCTTGGCCTCTGGCTTATCTCCCTTAAGTCAACTGCATTCATCCAAAAATCTTTATTCTTTGCCCATCTAGATGAATTACAGTATTGGTATTATTGCACTTTTTGCCACCAACCGAATCTCAAGAATTAAATTTTTGTAAACAATATGATGTTTCCCTTGCTAACGACTTACAATATACTGAGGGTCCAGAGGGACAACAAATACAATTCTACCGAAATTATTGCTATGTTTGCCCAGACAGGTCCATCTTCCCATAATCTTATCACAGTTTTTGACTTCTTAAATGTTGTACCTTAAACAAATACCAATGTGTGGTCTGTGGAGCACTATAGTTAAGGGGTGAGATGAGATAGCAAATGTGAAGAGTGAGGCATGCAAGAAAGGGAAGAAGGTGAAGGGATGCAATAAGTAAAAGTGTGAGGGTGCGACAGGGAGAAGGGAGTTACGAGTGCGAAAGGCGAGTGGGAAGTTTGAGAGGCACTGTACAACATAATTATGAAAGGAAGTGTGTGAGGGTTGTGAAAGGTGAAGTGTAATGGAATAGGGTACTAAGTGTAGCAGTACTAACCTTCACGTCTGTCCTGAGATCGCTCTGAGTACCGACGAGGACGATGGGTGCACGGGGGTTGTGCTGACGCAGCTCGGGCAGCCACTTCTCCCGTACATTGTGGAAGGAGGTGGGTGACACAACACTGAAACACACCAGGAACACGTCCGTCTGAGGGTAGCATAGTGGCCGCAGCGAGTCAAAGTCATCCTGTGGGAGGGAAGAGGCACCATAGTTAGTTACTCACCACAAACACAAATCCATAAAGCTAATCACTATCAACAATATAACTAACTCTAATATTAACATCCCCAAATGAATTCTTGGAATACAGTATTATGAAATCGGACATGCCGTCATATCCATGGTATATCATTAGTGTGAACTATGATAATTCCAGGTGTGAATGGACAACTGTTAGATAGGGTGGAATCAAAGGCATTTTGTCTTATTAACTCTCCTCCTTTAGTTGACAATCTTTCTTCCCTTTCTCGTCGCTGCGATGTTACTTCACTCTCTCTCTCTCTCTTTCACAGGTACTTTAACGGGCACACATGTCTTGCCCTTGGTGCCCACCATTTCTCTGTGGATGTCGGTCACACTAGAATAACCCGTTATAGTGCATCCTTCTTTCCTCACGCAGCCAAACTGTGGAATGCTCTGCTTTCTTCTGTTTCCATACTCATACAATGTCTCACTTTAAAAAGCTGTTTTCCGGCATCTTTGTGGTGTAGATTAATATAACCTTTTCCTTTTCTTTTTTAATTTCTTTCCATTCTTATTTTTTCGCCCCCCTAGGCCCCGTTGTGGATCGATGACCTGTGCTCGGGTGAGCTATCACCCGTAAAAAAAATATATCCTTATATCCAAATTTTTTTAAAATTAAATTTCCTATTAAAAATATGCGAAAATCCTATGAAAAGCCTCTTTAATTCTTATCTCTGCGCCTAATAATCATCACAGGATTGCAACCAACTAAATGTAATTGAACACCAATCTAACCTCTTCTTAAGTGTTTCAACTACCATGGTTATTTTCATAGTTTAATATATTTTTTAAAGATTCGGTTGAGGCTTGGGCCTGGTTAAAAGTGATTTCGATAATGTAGTGTTTTCCTTTCTCTACTACATAATTTACTTTCCATGGGAAGATTACATCCTGGACACTTACTATAACACTTACAGGTCCTAAAACCGAGGGAGTTCGGGATTGTCAATCGACAGACTTCATTCCAACGTATACACACTGAGTCTTAACATTAGTAGATGCCATTTCTCTCAGAACTTGAATACAATTTAAGTGTTGTAGCATTTATCACAGTATATAATGAAGAGAGTGTTGTCAACTGGTTTAAGGTATGATCATTTTGTTCCGTCTCACACCTCGCCTCTTAGAAGACAAAATCTCACGGTAAGAGTGGTTCCTAACACCCAGTACAGTGTCCTACCGATCCCGATATTTTAAAACCACAACAATCATTCTGTTGTATTTCGGGCGTGAGAAAATAAACTCAGATTTATGACCGTTATACTATGTTTTAACATTTTAGTTTCTTGAAGCTGCATAGACGTAATACAATAATATGGGGAGTGTTTTCTTTTAAAAAGGAAATGATCATTGCTAAACGTTGTCACCAACTTTTGCATTAATCCTTAACTCTAAAAAAAAATAAAAGCTTTCAAATCAACTATTACGTTTCTCAAAGAACGACAATGTGTAATTAAGAAACTGGTGAGCGAGTCACTCTCCCGCCAACTGGAGCCGCAGTTATGTGGCGGCGCTAACACTACCAACTCCCACAATTGCAGGTACAGTACTTATCAAATTCCGGGGCTATGACTCACGGTGGAGGAACGTGCTCTAGTCATAACCCATAACACCCTAACCCAGTAGTAACAACTGTTTGTAATAACCACCCGTGTGACGTCCCTACATATGTGTGATAACGTAACGCTTTGATATGTGTGTGGTTGCCTCTGGCCGTGACTCGCACACAGTATAACCACCGTCCCTACGAGCCTCGCACTATTGATACAATATCGAAATATTCAATTATAAACATTACAATTCCCCCTAAAATAGAAAATAGTACAGTATATAAAAAAATAAGTCGTGAATTTTTAACTACTTCCCTAGTTCCAATATATGATCTACTATGGCACATCAAAATATAATTATGAGAGCGTTGGCAATACTGGCGCGCGTAGTGCAACACGTGGTGGTCCACTTGTTCACTGTATGTCTCAACCTCTGCACCAGGCCACGGCTTCACGTCACAACAATGAAACCGATTCCAGAATGTACCCGACTTAAAATTATTTACTTTACTCATGCTCATGGAAAAGTAAAACAATTAAATTCTTCCTCTAAAATTTGTACGTTATCTGTGTTTAATTTTCGTTTTTTAGAATCTGAAGTTCTTCTCTACCACAACAGATTAGTCTGTTGCCAAACTTCCTGAGTAATTTACATGACCATCAACGCTGTTGCTGTCTGTAAACCAAAAGCCTGGATATACCCACCAGAGCCAGTTTGATCAGGAATACGATCAACAAGCACAGGTATATATGAACAAAATGAGGTCGACATGAACAAAAACAGGTATACATGAACAAATGACAGGTATACATGAACAAACACGGGTATACATGAACAAACAGGTAAACATGAACAAACATACAAACGGGTATACATAAACAAACATGGGTATACATAAACAAACAAGTATACATAACAAAAACAGGTATACATAAACGTACACAGGTATACATGAACAACTACTGGGCTCCATGATGAGGGTCTTGTTGCTGCTGTTAATATGTAGATAACTGGTCCCAGAAAGTTAACTCTAAGTTCTCGTCTTGTACTTATTACACAGCGTCTTTTCAACAGGACTGAATTTGCATGTGTAAGTACCTTGTTCAGTTAAAAATGATCGCATGGAGCATTAGACCTTACAGTATTGCCTATGTAAATATTTCATCTCGTGTTTGTGTTCCATAAAGTAGCCTGAGTAACCTTTAGGGTCCCAGGAGGTGAAATGTTTGAGGGTTTTAATATAAGCATTACATTTATGTTTTATATCCCCTAACCCGGCAGTTTTAACAGTCTAGGCAGGTGAGTTTTAATGGGCAGCGCTACTCAAGATTCGTAAAAAAAAAAAAAACACACGAGAGAATGTAAAACCAGAGAGATGGTGTTAGTACTCGATATTATTTTGCTGTTCGTGTACAGTGCTCCAGAAAATAGAAATAGTTTATATAAAAAAAAATGGCTCTAGATTCAAGTAAGCACCCAAACTTTTGAGAGTAAGGTAAGCCAACCCTGAGCTGATGAACCGACTATGACATTATGACCGAACACGGCTACACTAACTCCCAATTTATGCTAATGTCTTAAAAAATTGAAGCGCACCTCCCTTGTTCGACTGTACACTGTCTGTAAAAATGTATCGGTAAGCAAGATGGCGCACACACCCACCGATCACTTTACAAGAATGACAACATCTGCACGATCCCCCCTCCGTGTATAACTTACGATTTGATGTTAGTCAAAGAGCCACGCTTTTCTTTTTCTTTTTTGAGCAGACTTGAGTGAAAACATAGCTACGTAGGACGTTAGGTTTTAAATATTCTGACACAAATTCTCGAGTAAAGACTGACAAATTGTAACAGACAGCTGACCAAACGACTAGTGTTGAAAAGTCGCTATGATGATTGTGGTGGTGGGTCTGTCGGCAGCTTTGTATCACTGGCACCAACCACCACCTCCACTGAAGCCCCTACTGACTTACCGGCACATCCAACTCATATCCAGAGCAACCCCACCCACAAAGTACAATACTAATCCAGAGCAGCCCCACCCACTAAGTACTAATCCAGAACAGCCCCACCCACTAAGTAGTAATCCAGAGCAGTCCCACCCACTACTCCACAAATCCCCAACACCTACCACTTGCCTGATCACCAGCTCCACAACACAAGGTTACAGCTTCACAATTCATATTCTAATACAAGGATACATTAACCGAATAGTATAAACTATTACAAGAGGAAAGGCGAAGAGTAATGAGAACAGTTAAACTTACACTGTATACTTCAGTATCAAAACGGAGGCAGATCCTGTGTAGCAACTGTACTTGCTAGTTTATTCAGGAATATCATAATGTGACGCTGGTTACATGTGGCACTTGAAAGACCTGAACTTTTGTACTTTATGTGAGTTCCATTCCAAATGTAAAAATCTCCACACATGTATATATCATTCATTAAACCGCACAGTGTAAAGTATAGTCATTGCTGTTTTAAGAAGTTAACCCGAGACCAAAATCCGTGGAAAATAAATAAGTTGGGTAAATTCCACTTACTGTACATTCAGTTTCCATGAGTTGCTTCAACATTACATGTTTAAAAATACATTACTTTTTTTGGTACGCAAATTGTGTAAACACCATTTTCATGCTACGTATTATGAACTAAATAAATTACGAATGTGTTCAATTAATACAAGACCAGCATCTGAAGCACACATGACCAATTACTCAGTACAACAGTACGTCGTGTTGTAGATGATGAACTATGACAATACACAGTGCCGCACATGTATTTACATATCTAAGGATCCATTTTAGCACGGATCAACGCCTGTGTCTGTGATGGATTATGATCACACACAAAAGATTATTGCAATAGTAAGTTTCATTTAAGTTTATGCTTTATTATCCCTTTAATGAAGTATACTAATATCATTCATGTACACGTATTAATTACTTGAACTTTTTTACATGGAAATTATCTCTTTCACTGTTTGTACTTTATTGCTAAATATATTTATTTCAAGGTCGAATATCAGACTGCCAACTGCCCATTACAAAAATTATTAATAAATCGAACATGCACTTAATGGGGACGCTTTTGTGTATATTCCAACCTACCCAAACCTCATGGTCACTACCTATTATGGTACTCAGACTTCAAAAAATCGAAGTCAAGTCGATCGTCAAGGAATCGGAGGAGGAGCGTGACGTCAAGAGCTACGGACCCATGAGAAAGCCACCAAGCGTGCCTGGGTGCTCATGGCAGGTGTCATGGCAGTGTACACCACACTACTAGTTATTGTCAACTTCCGCCACCACCCACTGCCCTTACACACTTCTTCAGTGTTATTATTATGTACATTGCTTTTTTTTTTTACTCCTTTACTCATTCTTT